TCTCACGATGGCAAACTGCAGTAAGCTTCGTGGTAGCAGCCGTCGTCGTCGGCATCGTCGTTTCAGCAGCAGCAGCAGCAGCAGAAGCAGCAGCAGCAGCAGAAGTAGTTGCAAGAGCAGGAGCAGGAGCCTTAGTTGTTGTCCTAGTCGTAATCGTCTTCGTAGTCGTCATCATGGTCGGCCCGTTAAAGAAGGTGGGTTTAGCAGGGATGCTCTTTGCCATAAAGCCTCTTAGCCAACGCGAAGCCTGTGACGGCTTTAGCTTCTCTGCCTCCAGCTTCTGGTGAATCCAATCTCATCAGCATTCACCGGGATAGCAGGAGCGAGATTCTGACAACAGAGAAAAGGTGCTTCTGTGTTCGGGGTTTAGGGCTGAATCGGGTAGGGGATTGGGCCCTGAAGCGAACAAGGTTTAAGCAGTGGATCCTAGCCAAAGAGGGGCAAGGACATCTCCGGCGTCAGCACAAGGAAGGCTTCAGGGGGAAACAATATAGAACCTCAGAATCCAGGTACATAGCTAGATAATAGGTTGCTGCCTTTGGTCAGACGCAGAGCGAGCAAGCCCTAAGATTCTGGAACTTGGTTCAGCGGTACCAAGCAGCCGCATGAGCAGCGCAGTGGAGGTCCCATACTGATGACGGTGGTTCCACGATATCGACCCGCAGCCGATAGGCCTGCAGCCTTTACCCCGATTGCCCAAGCCCCTAGCATGGATGGCGCAACACGTAGTAGTAGTAGTAGTAGTAGTAGTAGTAGTAGTAGTAGTAGTAGTAGTAGTAGTAGTAGTAGTAGTAGTAGTAGTAGTAGTAGTAGTAGTAGTAGTAGTAGTAGTAGTAGTAGTAGTAGTATTGGTATTAATTCCCAACGGCTTTACTTCAAAATGTTCTTACAAATATGACTTTATTCCAAATTGCAACACCAGGCCCGTGATTTTGGGATCCGAGAACTCGACAAAGACGAGAAACGGTATGTAAGGATCCGGTCATCTACGTGTGCCCGAGTTCACAGAAAAGCAACGGCACCAGAAGTTTCGAAATATAGGGGGTCTTAAGAATGTGCGATTTTGTGGTGGCTCCTTATTGTAAGTACTCATAGTACAACATACCCCCAAACTTATTGTAGACATCTAGCGTCCTCAACGCAGAAGGCCGTCCCTTCATCCTCGCACCTTCCATCCCTGAAGGCTAAGCTCCTACATCCGAAGCCCTTGGAGCAGTTAATTCCTAAACTGGAGTCTTTCTTGGGCTTATGTGCAACTTACTTAGCCAATGGGAGAATTGTTAAGCGCTTTGGCCTTAGATATGTTGGTCTATCTCGGAAAGTTTGGAAGACCCCAAGGGTTCAAGTACCTAATAGTCATACACTTTCCAAAATCCTAACCTACATAACTACTATCCTAAAACCGAGTACCTAATCATTGGGTCCTTTGGACCCTTGGGGAGAGAGTTCTAAGCCATTTACAGGTGGGTAGTTTTAAGGTGGGTAGTCTCCCATAAGCCTGCCATACCACTCCTATAAGGTAAAGGGGTCTTATGGGAGTACTATGGAAGAGGAACTACCCACCTGTAATGGGCTTCTAAGAGTGGTAAGCCTGGCAGCGGCTGCCATGTCGCGGTGCCGGAAGCGATGAACTCCTCGGCACGGGGTGTCTCGGCTTGGATAGCGTCCTGTCGCACTGGTTAAAGGGAATGAAAGGGTTTCGGTTATTCTCTGTGAAATTTTTTTCGTGGTTTTTTGGAAGGGCTTCATAGGGTTCGATAATGATTTCCTGGATTTCATTGGCTAGGCCCTAATTGCTGAGGGTTTGGGGAGCGGGACTCCAAGAATTCTCAAGGCTTTGAGCCGCCAAGCCCCTACCGAGACCTGATGGAAACCCTCGTAGACCCCCCCTCAAACCCGCAGCACCCTCAAAGTTCTGAACTCTGGATACGATGAGAAAAATGACAAAAGACGTGCCCACAAAAGCAACACAACCCGGAGCGAAGCGAACGGAGAGCTTGGCATGGTCAGTCCCCAAACCCCATGATTTTGAGGGGTTTGGCATTTAGAGTTTAGGGGGCTCCGCCATGGAGAGTTCGGCTTTTGGGCTTTCGAGTTTAGGGGTGGTTTAAGGCTTAGGGATGTTCAGGGCACTTAATGGCTTCAATACTCGACCGCTTTAAGTCGGTGCTGCACCTTTGATCGGCAACCCTGGTTCCTAAACCATATCTGAAACTACCACAGCTGACCATAACCAACTTTTTGTACGTTCGAGCTGTAACCCCTAATAGTAGAGAGTTTATAGGGACCCTACAAAAAGGTAGGCTTTGGTAGTTTAAACTGATCACAGAATCCTACTGGGTGGATCAGACGGCCTTTCACTTATTAAGGTAAGCCGGTTAGGCGCTTGAATGTTTGCTTATTTCAGTCTGTCCTGTTCATACCTTCACTCACGACCTACTTCAGTCCCTTCACCCTTTGCGCAAAACTTATATACAGGTTATAGAGTTCAAGAATGAACCCTGAACCCCAACACTAAACGTCAAGCATTGGCTTACCTGCTTTGCAGGAGGCGCTCTCTCAGCGCGAAGTGCCGACCTCAAGCGACCTGGGATTTGCGGTAGTGGTGCTGTTTGGGCTTACCTATAGTCTCCATTGTAGTTCCTTTTGGGGGTTACCTTATAGTATCCCAGTTATGTAATTGGCGAAACCATAAACAGGAACTACAATGGAGACTATAGGTAGGGTCTAAGTGCAGGCTTTCGGGGGTAAATGGTTCAGCAGGCTGAGGCTGTGGCATTGACGGGCTCCGGGTTCTGAAAGACTTGAGGCTATGGTGGAGTTTGCTCAGGGTTTAGAATTACTTACTCCTGGCACGCTCGTCATTCGGATGGCGCGTTTTCCCCTTTCTGTTGTCTCAGGTTCCTTCTAAAACTTAGCCAAAAGGCTCAGTAAACGTCCTAAGGCCGTTCCAGAGAGGTCTGAGGGTCAGTTCCTCGATTCCGACGGCTGCCGGAAGTGCCACGAACGACGGTTTACCCAGAGGCCCCAAAGTAGTTCCTTTTTGGGGTTCATATAGAATCCTACAAGGTAACCCCAAAAAGGAACTACTATGGGGCCGCTGGGTAAAGTTAGGCTTTTATAATGTTTCAGCTTCTGGGGCTTGGGGTTTAGGGTTTAGGGGTTTAGGGGTTTAGGGGTTTAGGGGTTTAGGGGTTAGGGTTTAGGGTTTAGGGTTTAGGGTTTAGGGCTCAGGGTTTAGGGTTTAGGGTTTAGGGGTTTAGGGTTTAGGGGTTTAGGGGTTTAGGGGTTTAGGGGTTAGGGTTTAGGCGTTTAGGGGTTTAGGGGTTTAGGGGTTTAGGGGTTTAGGGGTTAGGGTTTAGGGTTTAGGGTTTAGGGTTTAGGGTTTAGGGGTTAGGGTTTAGGGTTTAGGGGTTTAGGGTTTAGGGTTTAGGGGTTTAGGGGTTTAGGGGTTAGGGTTTAGGGGTTTAGGGGTTTAGGGGTTTAGGGTTTAGGGGTTTAGGGGTTTAGGGGTTAGGGTTTAGGGTTTAGGGTTTAGGGTTTAGGGTTTAGGGGTTAGGGTTTAGGGTTTAGGGGTTTAGGGTTTAGGGATTAGGGTTTAGGGGTTTAGGGTTTAGGGGGTCTAGAGTCCGCAGTCAAGCTTTCCCAGTTAGCAGACTGGAAGCATAAGAATACCCAGGTATGTCTTCCCCAATAGTTATCGCAATAACATCTTGCATTCACGAGTCTAGCTATGAGCGGAGAAAAAGTTGCAAGTAAGGGTTTTCGAATTGTTGGGCGTCGGAAATATCAGGCACCCGAACGCTATGCCTCAAAAACCAAGAACATGTCCTCTAACAATCAGCACATCTCACATTCTAGTTGTGAGGTTTCCGGAATCGCTCTGCAGGTTCAGGGTCTAGGGCTTGTTGATTTTTCAAGTTTAGAAGTCTGCATGGGTTTGCCTATAGAACCGTCGCTGAGATACTTCTATTCAAGGGCATTAGCCATGAAAGTTGAAGCATTCAAGCTGGAAAAAGCTGAATAACCTCTTAGTAGCTGAGTAAGTAGCTTGTAACCGTTTTGGTTTTATATACTTGTAATATGTTCCTATCATCATTGGAAAGGTTCACCTTGTTCGGGCTAGGATACTGAGCCCCTAACATAGGCCCCAAAGTCCAAAGGGCGCAAAAAAACAAATCTAGCTGTCATCCAATGGACGTAGCTTCCCCCCACCCCATCAACAAGATCGCTAGGGTTTAGTTTAGGGCTTAGGTCCTTAGGTAATCCGTGGATCCCCTGAATTCCCATTAAAGCTGGAATACCCTAAACCCTAAACGAATCACCTTTCGGTTTTGACTGTAAGGCCCTGTCAGTGCCCGTTCTGGAGGCTGGCTGCCGTGGGGGGAGGGCTGCGGGAGCGACAAATCGATCAGGTCGAGGGTCTACCTGTTGGTGTGCGTGTATATTATACATAGACACCCAGTTATCTATGAATTGCAAACGAACCCTAATTAATAGCTGTTTAAGGTTTATGACTGCCTGGATCGCAGGTTCAGCGAGAAGCGCACGCGAGAAGCAGAATGAAGAGTGCCCTCGGTACAGGGCGTTTACGTGGTGTGCCGACTGTTTCACGTTGCAGCCTTGCCAGAGAGAGATCTGGAGAGGACGACGTATTGCACAGTCGCTACATGGGTGCGTTGCTACATGTCAGTTGCATGCACCTGCTACATGAAGGCCTGCACTACATGGCAGTTGCTGCACGTGATTTGTTATATGTCTCTTGCTACATGTTAGTTTGGGTCGTGGTCGCTTTAGGGTCGACCCATGTCAGGCCATTCCGACAGAAATAACACCCAGATATACTACACCATCGCAACCATCTAGATCTCAAGTAATACAGATTGCTGAAGTATGTCCTACAGACCTGTAAAGCTTCCGTGCTCCGGCCCGCGAAACACAACACTAGCTAGAAGTGTGGTAGGCGCAAGTCCAAGTGCTGTGTAATCATTTGCCGCTGCATGGCGGACGCCAGGGAGCATGATCTCCCACAATTCCTGAGGGAGTTGCGCTATTTCCTGAACTACCGCCTCCAAGAGCTAGAGGATGGCGTGGGCCAGCAGCTATCAAGTGGGGAAAAGGCCTTGTTACTCGCAGCTACCCGCCGAGCCCAAGCAGTAACGAATGCTGTGCCGACTTCCGCTACGAAGGTGCCTCCCGCAGCACGAGCTACCGAGCCGCAAGTCTCCTACGAAGACGAACAACTGCTCAGCGACGAGCAGTTGCGCATGCTATTCCTGCATTTCAGGGATGATGCGTTGGAGGCTGAGGCCGCTCAGAGCCAGGCCGAAGAGCTAGAAGATAAGGACAAGCTGGCCGAAGCTATGGTCGAGATGCCGGCTGCCAAGGAGGAGCACGATCGACTGAAGACTGCTAGGTGCGAGGCGCAGGCCGAGGCTACTGCCAGACAGCATGCTACCCGCCAGGACTTGGAGGAGCAAGACAGGGCTAGCAAGAAACCAAAGCTCGTGCTAAAGGAGGCGGTGGAAGCATCGCGCCGGCTACACATGAACGATGGGGTGGTCGAGGGTGCGAACAGCCATGCTAGCACTGACCGGCCAGTGAACCAACCTGGGATGGCCCCGCTCTCTGCTAGACACGGTAGAAGGTCGCCAAGGCGGACATGGAACGAGTTGCTAAACAATGACCGCAGTGTCAAGCCGTTGCGTCCAGAGTGTTGGGACATAAGCTATGCGGATGCAAGGCGCCTCAATAGTGCCGCTAGAGGTTCAGCTAAAGCGCTAAAAGGCAAAGGTGTGCCGGTAGAGCTGTGCGAGCCACCGCCGGCCGAAGCCGTCGCTACGGCCATGCCGAAAGGCACATCTAGCCATTTGCTAGATCTCACATGGCACCGGGTCCCACCACGGATGTGGCCGTTAGGGAGCCATCCGCAGGGCCAGGAGCCGCTCGCTAAAGGCTTCGGCAAGAACGCTCAGCACGAGATCAGGTTGGCTAACATCATACGAGAAAGCGACCTCTGTGGGCTAACTGATGCAGACCGCCGCTTGGTCTGCATGCTGAACCCACCTCCGCTACGAGACCCACGAGCCGAGGAACTGCTCCACATGGTGGGTCACAACCGCTACGTTGAGTGCCAGTTCAACACTCTCGGCTACGGAAGGTGGGATGGCTATACAGGAATTTTCCGCTGCATTGTGGTGTGTCCACGGTGTGGAGCTAAGGCTTGCAATCGCAGGATGTGGTGGTTGCTAGATACCCACAGGACGCACAACTGCGACCAGTGCAAGAGGGCCAAGCGTCGCTAGCCCCGCTACCACAACCAGCATTACCCGGCTACCGCACCCAGAGCTACCGGCTCACGCTAGTAAGTCCGCCGCAGAGTCCGGTGAAGGAGGCTAGTGCAGTGCAGAGTTTGAAAGCACTCAGCATGTGCAGTCGCTAGCGCCGGCAGCACATCTCTTTCCAGCAGGTAACAAAAGCGAGTTTGGTCACAGATCATGTTTTGCAGGGATTTTGCTCGGCAGTTATCAGGCATGTAAGGTAGTCCCGAGCCGTGAGGTTTGTGGCAGCAATTTCCGCATACCAGCAAAGCCCCGAAACCCGATAATTGGATTTTTGCTGCTCGAAAACAAACCGTGCACACAAACACAAGTTTGAGGAGTTTTTCGGTTTGCAGTTGTGAGTCGGCACACGCTCTACCCGATGTTACCTGGCACAAGTCTAACTGAAGACTCCTAGATACGACAGGAACCCAAAACCCCGAAATCATAAAAACCATAGAGCCCTCAGACCATCACTCATCCAACTCGAAACCTCTCAGCATGTAAACCGAACGCCGCCGACCCATGTCCCTACTGCCTCAACCCCGAGCGAGCCCCGGCAGCTCCGTAATCCCAGCACTAGTCTTGGGATCACGAAGTTTGCAGATCCAAAACTTCAACTCCGAGAGTCACTTGACCCCTTTAAGCTTAAACACCCTCAAACCGAACAGCCCGAAGCTTCAAAAGCTTGCATATCGACATGTTGAAGCAGTAAGCGCCGAAACCCCGATTCCTTGCGCCCGTAGCGTTCTTTTCTTTATGTTTCCGCCAGGTACATTATCCAGACACAAAAGGTGGGGTCCCGAATGGTTGCTTGCACTTGGGGTTTGCCGTGAACCGAGAACCCTTATTAATTACCCAGGAACCGAAATCCCTAAAATGAGAGCAGGCTGCTGGGAAAGTGATGCAAGAGATATGTGGACGGGAAAGTAACCACCTTCATAAAGTGCAGACCTTGACAGAGTATATTGCCGAACTCCCCGTACCGTAATGGAGGACAGAATATAGAGTAATCTTCCGGGCTAGTTAGTCTATATACTACAGTCATGATGTAATGGGCCCCGAAACCCCCTTCGAATCATTCACGCCCCTGTATTAAAGCTTAGAAGTCCAAAAGCATGGCATCCCGACCATACCACGACAAAACATAGAATTGCAGGATAGGTTTCCAGAAACGGAGTCGACAAATCCGAAGTCTTGAAGCCCCTTCCTGCCCACATATGATAACACCGTGCGCTGCACTCGGCAGCTTAAGCATCAGCTGAAAACCAAATCCCAGACATCCTGAGTAGGACTGGATGGTATGATTTGTCGAGAAATCCAGAGTTGGGATAGGTCTGGGTTAAGTCTTAAGTCTTAGGGTACTTACACGAGGTGCTCTGATTCATGTGCTCCCATGGCAGCGAGGTGGACCCGACGAAGCTTCCGAAGTTGGACACGAAGATGCACAGCTTGGAGAAGGTCGGAGATCATGTGTCGTTCCAGGGTTTGAGGGTTTAGGATGATGTAATATACGGGTCGGAATAAATGCTACTGCTTCTTACCAAATTTTCTTGGAATACTAAATACCAACCCTCGTCGTACGTGTTGAGGCTCGTAGATCAAGGTTTTCGATTTGTTATTTTGAGTCTATGGACTTTCCGGTTCGGGGTTTAGGTTTCCGAGTTCCGGACATGCCCTTTCTGATATTGGAAATGTAAACTTGTGACGATCTAACACTAGCAGCAGTCATTGTTGCCTGGATGGCCTGCTAAATCGTTCAATGTGCAAGCCAAGTGCAGCGGAAGTGGGAAGTAGGTTCAAAAGTGAATGCAAAATGGGTGTAAAGTTAGCTCCGAGCATGTTTAGAACATGCAGAATGAACTAGATGGGGAGCGGCTCCGAGTAGGGTTGTCCTGCGAGACATGTCGAATTCTCGTGTTGTCACACGTGGGTATAACACACGCTTCTGGCACTTTTCAAGACCCTTTCGCCCCGGTCCTGGAAAAAGTTGAATCTCCACAAAAGGGTACCAAGAAAGCATCAACAAAAGCGCAAGCATAAAGCTGTGAAACAAGCGTACACGCCAAAGCCATTCAAAACCCATCCCAATGATTTAGTAACCCTTGCAGCAACCATTGCTAAATAGGTAGACTTTAAGAATTTTTCCCCCAACCCTGAAGCCCTGGCAAGGATGGCGAAACTGTTCGCATGCCTTCGCAGAGTCTCGCTTCGCAGTTCGTTTAGGGGTGCAGGGTTTAGGGAGGGATCTCGAAGTTTTGCACATGATGTAGCAAAAAAATCGGACAGGCTTCGGGATGTTTTAGTGTCATTGCTTTATAGTGCAAGCATAACAAGCCAGAACCCCATCGTGACTAGGGTCCGTATATTCGGCATGTAGGTTAAAGGTTTGCGAAGGGTTTTGTAGCGTATTTTAAGGGGTGTCGCCGGGTGTTGCTTTAAGGGGGTCTTGGGTACCTGGTTTGTGCGATCTTGGTTTGATGGCTTCTCCTGTATACATCTTCCAAGAGAAGTGTGCTTTGCTTACAATCGAAATGGCTCTAGGTTCAGGGCTTCTTAGCAGAGTTTTATCAAGCGCTTTATAAGGGTATTCCCCGGGTTAATGGATCTTGCTACTCTAAATCTGGTTTTGGGACATCTTTTTACATGATCATAGAAAGAGTTTTATGGCGGGTGTAGTTTCGGAATTCTGTTTGGGGAGATGCCATTTTGCTACGGAAGATACAGTAGTAGTATGTAGTAGTCGTCGTCGTGGTGGTGGTGCGGCGGCGGCGGTGGTGGTGGTGGTGGTAGTGTAGTAGTGTAGGACAGTAGTGATACAAGGGTTTCAGTAACGCTCGGTCGACTCTTGGGAAATACGCGGTCTTTCTCGAGGACCAACGTTTGCCCGCTGCAGCTGTGGGAAGTTTATCTCGCCATCACGCCTCGCTTGGACCAGGGCCACAAATTAGGTCAAGAGCAATTAGTGTTTAGGGGTTTCGGTATTCGACAAAAAGCCAGTAGGCCCCAAGACTTTCCGCTGCAATCACATTGATCCTATATATCATAGAGGTCGAAATAATGCGTAATTTTGCAAAATTGCAATATTACCCCCCCCCATACCTTGGTATAAGTATTAAGGCAAATTAAGGCCCCTGTTTTTTATGTATTCGACGGTCCCAGGTATCCTTTCTTTTGGGCTATACAGTCCTTTACGGTACAACCCCAGAGTAGGGTCTGTACCTAAGGCCGTTTCTAGTCCACGGTCAGGTCATCGCTTCCTTCGCAGCTCTTCTGGCGGCCTAAGTCATTACTGATGCTACTTTGGTGGTTCCTTGCTATAAATATAGTATCATGGGCCCCAAAACCCTATTCTAATCATGAAGGCCTCTATATTACATGGAAAAGTCGTTCCAGAGCTCCCTTCTGGGGTTCTGATTTCACGGGCACTCCGGCAGAATGGTCTTGCACTTTCACCTGAATACCCTCCCGAGGTGCTGTAAAGGGTTCGTTTGCATACCAGGTCCCAGGGGGCTATAGATTTGGGCAGGCTGTGAATTTTGTGTACGTGCCTTCAGCGGTTGAACCCAAGGTGCTGCCGTTTTCCATGCTTCCAAGGTACAGCAGCAAGAGCAAAGCAGTGAACCACCAATTGCGCCGAGGAAGCTTAGAATAGACGAACCCAAGAACGGCCTCAATCAGGGAACATTCCGGAAAGTATAGTATCACGAAGAAGAAGCATTCCACGATGACAACACGGGTGCTCGCTATTTCAGAACATTCCCGTACACTTTGCACATCTGTTAAACAGGGTATGTCTGGAGCTCCAAGCCCGAAAACATCAAGCCTACATGTAGTCTTCATCGTAGTTCCTTTTGGGGGTGACCTTATAGGAGTTTCTTAAACCACAAAAAGGAACTACAATGGAGACCATAGGCAGAGCCGAAACCCTAAGCCAAGACAGGCCGTGGCCATTCTTTGCGTGCAACCCCCTTCTGCCTTGACCTCGGCTTGGTATTAGATCAAAACGCGCGTTTCGGCAGTAAGGGACCCCTTGCTATAATATAGACCCCAAAATAGCAATCTTGATTGTAAGGCCGTGTCAAACCCCAAAAAGCTGGATGCATCGGCAAATATTCCTGCAAGCACGCTTCGTGGCTCCATCACCCTGCCAACCACTAGATATTCAACCCCAGCGTGCCGCCGTTGTGTTCCAAGAGATTGCGAGACCCCTTAAGGAAGGAGTCTTGATTCAGTCTTATCCCAGGCATCCGTATATTGGAACGAACAGGCTTGGGAACATCCGAAACCCTTCCCACACCTTGTCGTCTAAGCCGCTCCACTCTGTACTCGAGCATCCCCTGCAATCACTTCAGCGACCTTGATCAAGGCTTTCGTGTAATCAAAACTGACTATCTCTCTCCTGCCGTGCAAACCGACACAGCGTTGGCGATGGCCAGAAGCCCCGAATTGGTTCAATCCTCCCAACCTGAGTCCCAAACCTCAGGACCCTCAAGCTCCGCACACCCGCTTACCCTCAAAAGGAGTGTTCATGTAGGTGCCTAGCCAATGAAGAGAATCCCCGCCTATAGTCTCCATATGGGTGGTCAGTGGGTGGTTGTCAAAATTATGGTCCCTTTTTGGGTCCTTATTATAATACGGCACCTAATATTTAGGATACTCAAAAGGGGGCCATAATTTTGACAACCACCCATATGAATGCATGGCTGGACCCCTCGAAGGCTCGTACTCCTAAGCAGCAAGAGAAGCCCAAGAGGCCCTTCTGGAGCCCTAAACCAGAAGAACCCTCAACCTTCATCCCTAATCCTTAAATCCAGTTTTCGAAATCCTCAAGCGATTCTATAAGCCCGAAACCCTAACGAATCGTAAATCCTGAACCCCCAACGGTAGAAGAGACTTTCAGTTGAGAGGATCTGCTTCACTCCCACATACGAGCGCGATCGCCTCAATTTCGACCGGGGCTTTGGGCTTCAGCGGTTGAGAGGGTTCAGGGTTTTAGGGGTTTAGGGTGGGGTTTAGGGGTTTAGGGTTTTTGGGGGTTTAGGCGTTTGGGGTTTAGAGGGGGGTTTAGGGGTTGAGGTTCAGGGTTTCAGTTGTTTTGAGGTTCAGGGTTCAAGCTGCCGGGCTTGTGGGATTTGCGGTTTAGGGCTCCGGGCAGTTCTGGAGTTCTGTAAGGGTCCTGAATAGGAGAAAGCAGGGCTTGGATGTAAGGGTCTCCTAGTAGTAGAGTTGGTAACCTTTAACCGTTTTGGGGTAGTATAATCCCTATATAATCCCCAAAAGCCCAAAAAGGTTAACCTTTAGCTCTCCGTGATACCCGACAAGTAGGGTCCATCAGAGATTTAGGGGCTTCCGGTGGTCAGGGCTCCCTTAAGTAGTTGGAATAGGGCTTTGGGGTCCGGTAAAGGTATAACTTCAGCGATTGTGTTTCGGTGTCATCCGTGTCGAGGATCGTTACATTCCTGAATCTGAAACTTACGGAGCTTGTGCAAGCACTTGTGGAGATTGAGGTTTGTTGTCTTTGTTCTGGGGTTCTCTTGTGGTTTGGGGGTGATTGGGCTCAGCCTTCACACTAAACCTGCATATCCGATGCCTGCGCATTTCCGCTAGACTGCAGTACGTATCCCGATTAGCCCCTTAAACTCTGGATCCTACACCTTATTCCTAAGCCCTACACTCTAGACCCTAAGCCGTATTCCCAGCAACCCGACTACTATCGGGGCTTAAGTATGTAATTACCTATACTGTTTTTTGGGGGCCCTTATCATGAATATAGTATAAGGGGCCCCCAAAACACTATTGTCAATTATTAAGGCCCCTCTATAATATAACCCCATGAACCCTTCAAAGGAACCCTTAAGGGAACTCTATTCGAATTATTAAGGCCCTACCTTGAACCTTATTCCTAGCCTCCTGGTACCTCTTGGGCCTCATAGAAAAGGAGCTCAACCCTAGAAGCCTGAGGCCGTAAGCCTTCTTGGGGACGCGAGGACTTTATATAGGGGCCTTAATAGTCAGAACAGGGTTTTGGGGCGATTCTCCTGCTGTATTTTTCAATAAGGAACCCTGAGGGAGATTAGTGGTGATTACTAAGGCGTCCAAAATACTGGAAGGATCATGGGACTTCGTAAGTCGGGTTACAAGTACCTTGATCTGGGTTTTAGGTATGTATAGCTGATTTGGCATTTAGGGTCTTTGAGCAACGAAGGATCTGTGAGCATGACGAGGACACGCAGCTGTCGGGGCCCCCGGGACAACGGACCCCTGCTGTGGTTTTGCTTAGCCCGCAACCCAAAGAATCCTTAGCTTGACACCCTACACCTACGGTTCGGAACCCTACGAAGCATATTTAGCTTTTCAGTAGTCGGAGGGGATCTGGTCGAGGGCCTTTAGCACTTAGCTTGTATAAGGTTAGAGGTTTGGGGTTTTATGATCGGCTCAAAAACCATCGTTGCGCAGGGTCGATCTCCATCCTGTCAGCATCCGAAATTCTACCATCAGAGCCCATGTCCTGCTCTTCACGTAAGGTCTCAAGTTTCGGATGTGCTGCGGTAGCACCTGGGCCGTCCGATTCGAAACACAACGACATCTTCCAGGGCAGCGCGGACCGAGTGATGACGCGTCGGTTGTGGCAGTGTGGTACGAAAAGTTCGAACGAGGAACCACGAGCTTTCGACGCATGTTGTCATTGTTGTGAGGGATGCACAGCGGAATGACCGTTGATCGAGGCATGCAAGTCCGGAGGCAAATCGGGAGGCAGACAACGGAATTGAAGTGCACGCTTCTGCTTATGGTGTGGCACAAGCACTGTCAAGCTATGTTGGTATCTACTATCGCTTCATGTTGCGAGCAAAGCAACTGCTAATGACCGCACGGTCAGATGACGGTAGCAGATGCTGACGTGTCGTTTGGCAAGGCGGACACCATTGGTGCCCAGAGACTCCAATATCCCTTCAGTAAGGAATATTCCTTTAATTATGGTAGGATCCCTAATATGATTTAAGGAATATTCCTTAACTAAGGGATATTGAAGTCTCTGGGTGTATGAAAGGGTTTGCCGCCTTGGGTTCATACCTATCGCGGCAGCGACTACCCGAAATGAGCGGTATTCACATTCAAGAGGTACTGTAGCGGCTTCCATGCCGAACAAGCAAGCTCGAGTGTTTGACTATTGTGGAGTCCCAGACGATGGATTGACCCTGCAAAGAATGTGTTGAGATTGCTTTCGATCCATGTTTTTCGCATGGTGAGCTTAAAAAATAGACTAAGTATACATACCGATATGCATATGAGATCATGTACGTATGTGATGTTGTATTATGCCCTGAGCCCGTTCCGCAACAGTTTCACGACGCCGAGTCGAGACGGAACTCGTTCATCTAGGTCAGGTGGCACACATCAGAAGGTGTTGTTCTCGTTGTTTGTTTTTCTCACATTCCTCAAGGCCTTTTTCCCTATGCTGTGGGGTTGTGTCGGCTTCATAGGTGCGTGGTCTACCTCGCGTTTAGATGGGAAGGTTACAGAGTTTTGTTGTGCCAGTCTCTGTGTGTGTGTTGTGGATCTTTTAGCAACCGGTTGGAACGATTGAACTGTCTTTGTGTCCAGCAAACTAACGTTGCCATCAATATCTGTTCAACCCTAAAGTTTGGCGTTGGGGTTCCACGTTATCACTGTTATCATGGTAGAGGATTTGTCGTAGACTAGGGAATCCACGCTCCAGTTATTCCTTGGGGGCAAGATTTCTGAGGCACGATCCTTACGCCGAGCCGTAGCATGTCCTGCTGGTTGCTTTCGGTCTATAGATCCTCATTCTGTGAACAGGCAAAACCTATTCAGGGCCACCCGAAGTGCCCCACCGATTTATGGGGATGAGGGGATGTGGCAAGTCGGCCAAGAGTTGTACCTGGGATTAGGGTTTAGGGTTTTGTGGTTTAGTGTTTTGGGGTCTAGGTTTTAGGATTTTGGGGTTTAGGGTTTTGGGGTTTAGGGTTTCCACTGGACTTGTCGCCTCGTCAGAAACACCGGGGGGTCCTAAAAGCGTCTGACATGACGGTTGTGTTGGATTCTCTTTTAGTTGTTCGGGGCAGAGCAGCCAATGTGCACCGGTTAAACACGAAATGTTCCATAACGAAGAAATACGTCTCCTGCCTGTGTTTCTTCCAGACCAACTTCCATCCCGGACCCAAGCCCTAAACCAGAAGCCCCCATCTTAAGCCACATCCCCAAGGGTTGAAACCGTATTACGCGAGCACACGACCTGCTCCAACGTCGTCGACACGTCGCAGGCGAGTGGGCGCAAGGGAGAAAGACCTTGAGCCTTTCATTAGGGTTTGGGGTTTAGGCTTTACGTGTTTAGGGGTTTTGGGGTCTAGGTTTTCGGGTTTAGTGTTTACAGGGCTTCGGTTTAGGGTCTTAGGCCTAAATTTAGGGTTTAGGGTGTAGGGTTAGGGCTTCGGGGTTTGGGGTTTAGGGCTCGGGCTCCAGATGCTTGCGGACCCGGATTTGGCTCTGGGTTTCCGGAATCCCGCGCCCTGAGAGTCTGCTTGCTCCCACTGTAGCAGCAGTGGAACTTGGGCCCTCCAGTTCCAGTCTGACACTACCTATAGTCTCCATTGTCGTTCCTTTTTTTGGTTGACCAAAATCTCTATTATAGGATCCTAACCCTAAAACTGGTTAACCAAAAAAAGTAACTACAATGGAGACTGTAGGTAGGTAGGGCTTTGGTACATCTTATATTTTCCCTTATTGGGTCAAGAGGATCTTATTTACCAGTATTTTTCAAAGGATTTAAAAGCGGCCTTCAAGAATCATCGTCGACGTGCTTAGGCCTCGTTAGCTCTCGGTTCGGGGGACTTTGGAGAAATCAGGGGTTTCAGAAATCTCTGGGCGTCAACATCGACCCTGAGCTGTGGGATCCATGTTGGCACCCGACCCTGACAGCCCTCCAGCCCTACATGTCCTGCATAGCTCTCCAGCCCTACACGCTACACCTGAAGATCTTTACACTCTCGTCTAAAACTCCGCATGCTTTCGACCCCTCCACGTCATCCACGACTTGGCAGAACTGAAAGCTGATATCCTTTCTTGCCCCTTTCGGCTTAGAACTCTTGCGCTTTGTGTTTAGATGTGTTTAGGAATATCGTGGCTTCGTGCTCAGGGTCGTGGCTGCGAGCAACAGCACAACCTAACCCCATGGAGCCTATAAGCTTCGCCAAACCCTATGAACGTTCCTATAAACCCTTAAATCCAAAACACCCTGAAACCCTACAGCGTCAAACCCTAAACCCTAAACTGCTCAACTCTGAGCTCTTGAACTCCCAGCAGCTCAACTCCCAAACTCCCGAAGCTAGAGACGGCCCTAGTATTGAAGTCTGAGAGATTCGTAATGGTGTCCCCTTCTATGCTTTGTGCGTAGACTTTTGCGATAACTCTCCATATTAAAAATTATTATCGAACCCCCAGTCTCGCCAATAGTAGTACATAGGTTCGCCGCGACCATCCCAAAAGAGCTCATCAAATCAACTAGAGGGTCATTGGAGAGGTCGTGACACGTGCCACCAGGAAACCTCCTTCGCGGGCTTCTTCGAGGAGTACATGCGACGAAAATTTCAGCTACAGCCCCTTGTCGATTCGTTGAAGATTCAGGGCAATGGTTTAAGGTGTGTGGGGTGTTTGTGGTAACACTCCAAGCCTCGCGCTCAACAGGTTATGGTTGAGGTTAGGGCTGGCCACGCCCTGCTCAGGAAAGCATATTATTCTCTACAAATGCCTGCAATGATGGCTTGAATTTAAAAGATTAAATGCTTCAACAAGCACCCTGTTGAGTGAGCTCAAACTCTTAAACAAGAAGCTCCCTATTTAAACCCTCAAAAGGAGACTCTGCAATTTGAGATTGTCAGGTGTAGACCCTAAACTAGATTGCCAGGTTCAAGCTTGTATATATGTGTTCGTATGTGCGTGTGTGTTTGGTTATCAGTGTGTGTGTGTGTGTGTGTGGTTTGGTGTTGTTTGTTTTTTTTGTTGTGTCTGTGTGTGTGTGTGTGTCTGTGTGTGTCTGTGTCTGTGTCTGTGTCTGTGTCTGTGTCTGTGTCTGTGTCTGTGTCTGTGTCTGTGTCTGTGTCTGTGTGGGTGTGGGTGTGGGTGTGGGTGTGGGTGTGGGTGTGGGTGTGGGTGTGGGTGTGGGTGTGGGTGTGGGTGTGGGTGTGGGTGTGGGTGTGGGTGTGGGTGTGGGTGTGGGTGTGGGTGTGGGTGTGGGTGTGGGTGTGGGTGTGGGTGTGGGTGTGGGTGTGTGTGTGTGTGTGTGTGTGTGTGTGTGCGTGCGCGTGCGTGTGTGTCTGTGTGTGTTTGTGTGCGTGTTTGTCTGTGTGTGCGTGTGTGTGTGTGTGTGTGTGTGTGTGTGTGTGTGTCTCTGTGTGTGTGTGTGCTTGTTTCTTCAAGCTCCAAGTCACTAGACTAGACTCTAGACTTTTAACCTGCTGCGGGGCTTCAAGTTTTAGCTTTCACTTTTCGAGAGCAGTTTACTTAAAATCCGATAGCAGAGGTTTAACCACGATGTGCTGCTCAACTACATCACAGAGACTATGGACGACCAGTGGCGGCTTGGCTCCCTTGGGACTTACAGAAATATAGACAGCACGCAATCATGCACACAAGCCGCATTCACATGTTATACACTCGTGGTTGTCTGTATGTACTGTAAAATTTGTATGTGTGTGTAAAGGCACATATATATATATATATACATACATACATGTGTATATATATATATATGTATATGTATATGTATATGTATATGTATATGTATATGTATATGCATATGCATATGCATATGTATGTATGTAGTTACAGAGAGGAGACACATGCTGACGCACACATGCACGGGTGCAGATTGCACACACCGAAGTCTCGTGGATCTGCGTAGGTGGGTTGTGCCGATTGTCCGAGAACCCGTCGGTTGCTCTCGTCTTGTCATGGTGTGTGTTTTCCTGGTTCTTGTTACAGGATTTAGTTTTATTAAGTTATTATAATAAGGAAACCTTATTATATACGATGGGTCCCTACTCTGGTAACTTACCTTAAATTCCTTAGCAAGAATCCAGCTGTATGTTTCTTTTATGAATCCGGCCTCCTGTGGACCATGCCGGTCTAGACCCTGCTGTATCCTGCTGACCGAACTCCTGTGGTCAGCCCCCGTCACCTCTGATAGTGCTTACAGGATCATTGTACTTAGTTAGTAGGGTTATGAGCAAAGACTAAGCGCTCCCACGAAGACTTCTAGAGATTGAAGAAGACATGTATGACGCCGGCGGTCGACAAGCTTTGAAGGTGTAGGGTTGGAGTTTGAGGTCTAAGTTCTGCGCGTCGACGGTTGTGCAGCTCGGTTTGGGTTCTTGGCGGTGTTCAGGTAAATTTTCTCGCCATTTGTCATGACATGCGTGTGCGCGCATGCCAGCTTTCAGACAAAACAAGGGGTCCGTAAACCCAAAACCTCCTCTCTCCCTGAGGTCTGGTTATGGCGAGATTCCACGGACCTTCCTTCTTGGGCCTTACGTCCAGGACCGTCAGGGGTTCGGAGACTCCTTTTCAAAAGCGTACTAACCACAAAACCCTAAAAACCCTAAATCCTAAAGCACTGCGGAGAGAAAGTCCGATACCCTTAAAAAGCCTTGGCCCTTAGCCCTAAATTTCCCGAAACCCTAGCTGAAGGGCCCTTTTTTGAGGCCACCGAGCTGGCCATCCAGTTTGATTTTCGGATCGGGGGCTGCCGGCTGATCATCCCAGGGGTTTCCGGCTTAAGGGCTGCAGGTTTGGAGTTTGAGGGGTTTAGGGTTTATAGGGTTTAGGGTTTATAGGGCTTCGGGTTTTAGGGTTTAGGGTTTATAGGGTTTAGGGTTTTAGGGTTTATTCCCGAAAGCATCGCGAAGGGTTCTTCCGTGTGGAACGCCGCAGCTGAGTACATAGATGACAGACATAGAATCAACTTACTTGATTCCATACTTTACTCTACACTCTACACTTGATACTTGACTCTACACTTGATACTTACTTACTTACTTGACCCTTATGACTGACTCTCTACACTTGACACTTGACTCTATGATACTTGACTCTACACTTGATACTTGACTCTATGTTATGCTTACGACTTACTTACTTACTTACTTACTTCAATCTACTTACTAACTTACTTGACACTTGACACTTGACACTGGACTCTATGTTATGCTATCTCTATACTTACTTACTTACTTACTTGACTTGCTTACTTATACTTACTATACTTACTTACTTATGACTGACTCTCTATGCATCTAATCTATGACTTACTATGACTTATGACTTACTCTCTACATCTCGGTATCTTAATATTTCTTAATATTGGCGGGGGTGGCACCGTCGGGGTCCATCGGGAATGCAACCCTTCCCAGGGATTCGCTGCCTCGGGCGTTCAAACGCTAGGTAAAGTGACACATTTTAGGCGCACCGCGCAACCCTTCCCAGGGATTCGCTGCCTCGGGCGTTCAAACGCTAGGTAAAGTGACACATTTTAGGCGCACCGCGCAACCCTTCCCAGGGATTCGCTGCCTCGGGCGTTCAAACGCTAAAGTTACACATTTTAGGCGGCCGGCGCAACCCTTCACAGGGATTGGAACTCTCGGGCGTTCAAACGCGAGGTAAAGTTACACATTTTAGGCGCCCGGCGCAACCCTTCACAGGGATTCGCCTCCTCGGGCGTTGAAACACATTTTAGGCGCACCGCGCAACCCTTCCCAGGGATTGGAACTCTCGGGCGTTCAAACGCGAGGTAAAGTTACACATTTTGCGGTTCCCGCGCAACCCTTCACAGGGATTCGCCTCCTCGGGTGTTCAAACGCGAGGTAAAGTTACACTTCTTGCGGGCGCCGCGCAACCCTTCACAGGGTTTGGGTGCAGTTCAATTTTTTTTTGCAACCCTTCACAGGGATTTGCATTTTGCAACCCTTCACAGGGATTGGCGTGGTCGGGTGTTCGAACGCGAGGTAAAGTTGCATTTTTTGATTTGCATTGAAATGAATTTTGCAACCCTTCACAAGGATTGGCGTGGTCGGGTGTTCGAACGCGAGGTAAAGTTGCATTTTTTGATTTGCATTGAGATGAATTTTGCAACCCTTCACAGGGATTGGCGTGGTGGAGTGTTCGAACGCGAGGTAAAGTTGCAATTTTTGATGAGCATTGAGATGAATTTTGCAACCCCTCACAGGGATTGGCGTGGTCGAGTGTTCGAACGCGAGGTAAAGTTGCATTTTTTGATGAGCATTGAGATGAATTTTGCAACCCTTCACACAGATTGGCGTTGTCGAGTGTTCGAGCGCGAGGTGAAGTTACACATTTTGGTGCATGGTACATAGATGACTCCATGACTCTGTGACTCTATCTCACTATGACTCTATGACGCTATCTCACTGTAACTCTATGACTTTATGACTCATGACTCATGGACTCTATGACTCTTGACTGTATCTGCATCTCGAGGTCCAGGTCAGGCTATGAGCCCTCACGCTATGGGGATCTCGATTAAGCGTTCCCACACATAGAGCATAGAGTGAACTACATCGAGTCAAGTGCATGGTACATAGATGACTCCATGACTCTGTGACTCTATCTCACTATGACTCTATGACGCTATCTCACTGTAACTCTATGACTTTATGACTCATGACTCATGGACTCTATGACTCTTGACTCTGTGACTTTACGATCCTATACACTGGATCTATCACATAGCCCCACAATCTTCGCTGATGATGCTTTCGGGCCAATTGTCTTCTAGTAGGTTTTTAGGGTTTTAGGGTTTAATATGGTTTATAGGGTTTAGGGTTTAGGGGGAGTGGGGGTTGAGCTGTGGAATCTGGGTTTTCCAGAGGGTTTGTTGTTTAGAGACTGGGATCGGGGGCTTCAAGTATACTAGGTAGGCCTTTGGGACATTTTATATTTTCCCTTATTGGGCTTAGTAGGACCCTATTTACGAATATTTTTCTGAGGCTTTAAAGGGCCAACCTAGTATATCTTTGGGAAAAGGATGGCTGCCTGGGCCGCGACAGACTGGGCTGCCATCAGCTGACATCGCTTAGTGGATCCTAGTGTTGTCTGAGGCGTGTCTGATGCCAAAGCAAAAGAGCTTGTAGCAAAAGTGAGTGTGGTGTGATTGTCATCCAACTTCGTGGTGACTAGCATTTGAGGGAACGGGAGTGCCAGCAGCTAGTGTAGGGTCAACTTGCCCAAGATCTCCGACACCCGAAACCCCAAGCTTTGCAAGCTAGGGCTTGTGGATGCAGGGTGGCCCTCCGTGCATAGATCTGCAGTCTAAATCGTGACCCTAAAACGACTATGCCGATTCTGGTGAACGTTCCGGAGTTGAGGGTGTGTGTTTTTTCTCGAAAGGCGTTCCTGGTGCAAGACCGCTTCTTCGAGGGCCAGTACGACGAGATGATCGATGCTATGCGTTCCTTGGCTTGGCGTTGGTGCTGGATTGTTCCTTGGCTGGGCCTCCTAAACTTCCAGTGCTATACTCGGTTTAGGGTTCAGGGTTTAGGGTTTAGTTTTGGGTTTAGGGTTTAGGGTTGTTGCTCCCTATAGTCCCTGCCACTCTTGTTGCATTTGGCACAAACTCTCCCCTCCTGCTACTACAATCTCGACCATGTATCTGGATGCGATAAGCATGTGTTGCTGCTACATGCTGCTGCTGCAGCTACGAATAGACGAAGAGTCTTCCTAATGGGTAGCTGTCAAAATTATGGTCCCCTTTTGGGTACCCTAAATAGTAGGTGCCGTATTATAATGGGGACCCCAAAAGGGACCATAATTTTGACAACTACCTTGATTCCGATGCGATGGATATTTAGGTTTTCTGCCTTGCCCCCTACGCTATGCTCGTCGTGACTCCAAAGACTGAAGACCCTAACATCCTGAAGCAGGAACTCTAATTGGGAGTTTCCGAAGATTAGGGGTACCTTATTTTGGGGTCCTTGTAAGGATCCTGCTATTTCTGCTACTATATCAGGGTCCCATTTGATCGGAACATCCTGAAGCCCCACCCGGACCCCTCCGGTTATGGGAGCAGAACACAGTTTGGGCCTTGCAGGAAACACCCCCGTCACTCAGCATAGCCATCCTCGGAGCCAAAGGAAGAAGTAGGAAAAAGTTTAAGGACGGACATGAACCGGGTTACTGCTTACGCCAGCATCACACTCAGGAGGCACTTTCTGGTGCATGTTCCGAGACTGTGTTTGCTATGCGGGCTTTCCGAGAACCTCTATCCTTCACGGAACTCTACCTCACTTACATGCCCTCCCGGCAGGTATGTACAACTTGCCGGTCAACGATGTCCTGGTGGATGGTGACTTGGTTCTTGTTGAGGGGTTTCGTTGCATGAGTTAGAAGACACCAGAAGAAGCAAAACAGATGTGTATAAAAAGAAGCAGAAAGCGCCTGTTCCCTTATTGGTTGCCGTGGTGTTGTATTGGGTGGTTGTCAAGTTTATGGTCTCTTTTTTGGTCCCTATTATAGTAAGGCACCTATTATTTAGGGTACCCAAAAAGGGAACCTAATTTTGACAGCTACCCAGATAGCTTGTAGACAGTTCCGTCACGACAACCCAGGTGACGAAGACATCATGGCAGATGCGAAAGACGTCAGCTTCGACCATGCCAGGAACCCTCGCTCACTTTGATTGCGGTTTACTGGGTCGTGCTTTGGGACAACTGTTAATTTCCCTTATTTCCTTATAAAGGGAACCTATTCCCTATTCATAAATAATTTTCAAAGGGTTTAAAGCACAACCCAGAACGGTTTAGTGTTTAGGGTTCAGGACTTCGGTTCTTGCCAGGGAAAGACAGAGTCCATAGGCGGCTACATAGGGTGGCCCCAAATTCTCTACTGAGCAGCAGCATTTGAACCAGCAAAACGGTTTAGCGCCCATGGTGTGTAATATTTGGATCTTAATAATGAATTACCTATACTATTTTGGGTGTTCCTTATTATACCAGTAGAAGCCCAAAAGTAGGAAACCCCATAGCCTCAATCCTTAAGAGTGATGTATATGGAATCCCTGAATCCAGTTTCCAACTTTATAGGGTTTACTGTAACTATATATTAAAGCCCCTCTATTGGCTTTTGCGTAGTCGTGGATTTTGATACGCTCTTCTGGTCGACTGTACCGGTCGGGGCTCCCCTGTACGTGTTTCTACTTTAAGGGTTCCTTTAAAGGGCTCTATAAGGGTTTGGAGTTTCCGAAAAGTAGGGGATACCTTATTTTGGGGTCCTTATAACAAGGATCCTACTATGTAGGGTACTATATTCGGATCCCCTATTTGTGGAAACTCCAGACCCCTACGCCCTACACTCTGAACCCTAGACCCAGGTTCCCTTTGGACTTTAGTTTTGAGGGTCCCAGAGGGTGTTTTACGACGTCGCCCGGTAGTGCCGAAGTAGACTTAATCTCTTGACTTGGGATCCACCAAGCATGGCATATAAAGATGGAAGAGTTAGTAGTTAACACAGCACCCCGCTTTTTTTGAGGGCTAGCAGGGGAGCCCGGGATTTCGGGAATGCGATCCTACCTTCCAACAACTCCCTCAACAGTGCAACTCGGCATATCAGTAGGGAGAGGGACCGAATGATGTTCACGCTGCTCCGATGTTTCCTCGAAACCCTCAGCCGTCCTTCCCCCTAAACTCAATCTTGCCCCTAAACTCTAGACCCTAAAACCCTAAACCCTCCAAGCCCTGAACCCCAAACTGTTTTTGAACGTCAAGAAACAACCCCCGAACCCCAAAACCCGAAACCCTCTATGCCCCAAACCCTTAACTCCAAAGCCCTGCTCTCGGTGGCCATGCCTTTCCTAGGATGTACGACGACCCGACGATGATCCTCAAGAAGCACGGTGGCTGGGCCCTGGGCAAGACAGCACCGCTACTGACCAAGAAGGACCATAACCGTGCGAGCTTGGGTCCGCGGGTTGGGGTTTAGGGCCCTAGGAGTTAGGGATTTGGGCCATTATCGGTGCGGGTGTCTAGCTTTCAGGGTTTGGAGTTAAGGGTTGTGTTCGGTTTAGGGTTTAAAGTTTTCCATTCGGCTCCAATTTGTCTTATGTGATTTTACGCTTTGGTTTGTTTGTGTGTATTTGTGGTGTAGAGAGCTGCCCAAACACGTAAAGTAGCGAGGTGAAGCTGCGATCTGAAATTTGGCAGTACACCGGCCGGAATGATTCGATTTATTCTCCCTCTCTGGTCAGTTGCAACTCAAAACCCTACTCCAATCGTCAAGGCCCCTACCTTAGATCTCTCAGGACCATTGCATTCGGAACTGCTCCACGCAAGATGCTGCGTAGTGCCGAATGAAACCCCGAACTTGTGCCTCGTAGAAGCCTCACAATGAGCAGCCGAAAGTGTCAACACGCAAGGCCCGGAACCCTTTTTACGGTTTAGGGTTTGCCTTGGGGCCCTGAAGAAGCTACCTTGTTAGGGACTTGTAAAAGCAAACCCTGATAAGGAGCCCTAAAGAGGTAGGTCCAGGTAGGGTTTAGGGAGCAACACTGAAGCCCTCCTGTTCCAAAACGGCCTGCATTGGTTCTCCAGAGAGGACCAGCTGGTGATGCGGCTCACAGGCAGGGTTTAGGGTTTTAGGGTTTTCGGGTTTAAGGTTCAGGGCCACGACCTCCAAGAGAGTCCAATAGCCGTGATCTCGGGATCGCTTGATTCAGAATTGAGCTAGTCGATTGACCCCTAAACCCTAAACCCTAAAGCCGAGAGCTGATAGCTGACCGCAAAAAGCAGAACCCAAGAAGTTGCGTTGTCGCAGATCATGCCATGAGACTGGATGTTATACCAGGTTAGAGTTTAAGGATCACGTGACTGAATGCACCGAAAATGCATACAATTGTATGTAGGAGACTAAAGCCTAAACCCCTACATCCCTCAACCCTAAACTTAACTCCCATGCTTTTTACCTCTTCTGGCTTGTGGCCAGTCCCAGTCCCATTGACTTTGGGGCTTCCGAAGTCATGTAGGATTGGCATCCCAACTCACAACCCTACGATATTTTAGAAACTCATATAAACACTTGGCGTTCTTCTGGTTGGCTCTTTAGACTTTAGCTTTTGGGGTTTCCATATGAACTATAATAAGGAGGCAAAAAGTTTAACTTTTAGGAGGGGTTCTGAGGTCAGCCAAGAATAGACAGCCCTAGAAAGGCCCAGGGTTTCTCAATCAGGGTGCTATGTTACAGTAGAAACCCAAAAGTTGGAAACCCGATAGCTTCAATCCTTCAGAGTCATGAAAGGCTGGTCCAGTTCATCTAACCTAGGCTTGGTTTAGGGCTTAGACCCTAAACTCTTAAGGAATTCCAATAAGATATCAGCGGAAGGATGCACGCTCGATCAGCTGCTAGCTGGACGCGATGTGCCAGGGCTGCAGAGGACTCGCAAGAGCTTAGATAGATGAGAAGTTCTGGTATCTATTCCGTCTTTCTCTTAGGTTTCCTTGATACACCCTAAACCCCAAACCCTAAGCCCCTAAACCCTAAACCCTAAACCCCTAAACCCTAAACCCTAAACCCTAAAAAAAAAAAAAAAAGCCCCTAAACCCCCAAACCCTAAACCCTATGTACCCAAAGCACGGATGCGGTATTTTGGACTGCGGCTCCTGGGCTTGGTGGGGGAACCCATGAGGTCGAGTAGGTGTCTTTCGGCTGTTGGGGGGTGGCATATAGGGCTTAGGGTTTAGGGCATTTTGGGCTTAGGGTTTAGGGGTTCTGGGCATTGTGGCTTGTGTGAGGTTGATGTCTTGTGGAGAGATTGGCTTAGGGTGTTGGTTTGAACGTCTTGCTCTCCCGGGGTCTAGGTCGGTAAAAGGTTCAAGATTTCGCCTTCCCGTAAACTAGCACAGAATCAGAAGCAGTCTTCATCCTAGACTCGTGGCTCTTTAGTGAAGGGTGTCTCGTGGTGGGTCTCCGGGCTTCTTTCTAGATTCTAGACGTGTTGACTGGCTGGGTCAAGAGATTTACTGAGTAGGTGGGTAGCCCGGGTTGACTGGTTGAACAACTCGCAGCACATTGAACCAATTACTCGCAATAAGGAGGCCTGGATAGCTTGTCATACTGTGACTTAGACTTACCCTATAATCGAAGACCCTTAGTCTGAGGTCTCTACACTACCTCCAGAATCCATTGTAGTTCCCGTTTTGGGCGAACCAAGTTTATGCTGAGGACCCCAGAAGAAAAAATCAACATCTTGAACCAGTTGTATAGTTCGGACCCGTGTAAGAACAATCAAGATAAGCCAACAACGACACCAAAAAGGAAACATGCTTAGACACTGCAGGTACCTGACTCCCCACGCTCGAAGGCCAATGGAGCACTGGAGGTGACCGTTCCCCGGGTTTGCAAAGTGCACAGGGTTAAAGTATTGGGCGGATTCTGGATTTGTTCATAGTTCAAACGTTGCTTCTTCAATCGTGATTTTTGAGTAACACATTCGGTGCCTGCCTAAGTCCTACTTCGAGTATATCAATCGGTTGCGGCCTCCAAGTTTTTGCATCTTATATGCAGAAGTTGTTTCAACAATACATTTTGAATTTACGTCAGCTTGCACACACAAATACGTGTGCATCTAAAACATACGTGCAGACATACATGCATCCATGATGTTCCGTTTATTCCTGGCATTGCATTGCGTTGTTTTCACTTGCAGTAGAGCAAGGTATCTATAGTTGTATTTACTTATAACCTCAATTAATTTACTTACAACCCTACTTACACGGGTTCCATGATCCTCTAACTAGTACTTCAGAGTACATAGATACATACACGAAGCACGAGACGGCTAGGCATGGGGTTTAGGAGTGGAGCCAGGAGCAACAAAGCTTCGCGATGGAAGAGCAGAAGCCACCGGAGGAAGATGGCCAGGAGGAGTTTTGAGGGCTTTAAACCGTATAAACCCGATGGGGGCTAGGGGTTAAGACTGTGAAACCGAGCATCAGGTCTGCTTTAAGACTTATTTCGGCGTGTAAGGGGACTTTTTGTCTGTTCCTCCGGCTACCTACTGCCTTTTTTATAGGTATCAAGGCCCCCTACCCCCTGCCCCCAACCCCCCTAGGCATGAGACGCTCTAGCAGCTAGCAGCCTTTTTGGAGACCGTTGGGCTGGACACAACCATTACACTCCATAAGGTTACAGGCTCAGCAATGAGGCTTGAGGGGTTTCAGGCAGTGAAAGCTTAAGTTTAGTTTAGCCAGCATTCTCCCACTACGAAGGTATTTCTTTAGGAGGCTCGAGCCTGATTGGATTCCGCATAGGTTTTTCACGAAGTCTGTGACATGAACCATGCACAGAGACTACCATGAACAAAACGTGAATATTCCGTACACTCGGCCCAAAGCCATACAGCCCCTCGTCTTCCAAGCAGGTAATTCCTGCACAGCCCTCAACCGGAAGCACCACCTGAGCTGCAGTCAAGTTAGGCAGAATACAGTCCAGTCCAGGACACAGGAGTCTAGAGTCTATATAAAGAGTGCAGCCGCAGCGCAGGGGATCCAGTTGTTCTCCTGCCCAGCGATGCATCCATAAAGCTTGGCTCCTATTCGGGTTTGGGTAAATCACGACGGCATCTGCTGCTATTCTTGGATATCGTATCTGACATCCTGAAACGCATGCTGATGAAGCTTGTCCGGAGGCTTAATTCGGGTTGTAGGTTGTAAGCGCCGGGCATTTAGAAGCCCCAGAAATGATTAAGGACACCACGTTCGGACTGCTACCGGGTTTTACGGTGCAACTATGGTTCTGTTTGAGTGGGGCTACTCTCACGTTTTTGGTTTGGAGAAGGGAAAGGGGGGAGGTATTTCGATCGGTGTACTGTTCGTGCTTTCTTTGGCATCGAAACCCTGAACCCTTCACCTTAAACTAAACCTTAAACCCTAAAAGCCCTGAAACCCTATACCCTAAGACCCTAACCCTAGACCCTAAACTCCCTGAAACCCTAGCCCTAAAACCTAAACCCTAAGACCCCAACCCTAGACCCTAAACCGCATGCCGCAGGACTCGGGATCGGAGGCCAAGGAGGACAGCGAGGAGAGTGGCTCCCATGCATCTGACTACAAGGCGCTGAAAACGAGAGCTTCGGTCGATGATGTGAGGGGTTTCGGGGTATAGGTTTTAGGGGTTTAGGGGTTTAGGGGTTTAGGGTTTAGTGTTTAGGGTTTAGGGTTTAGGGGTTTAGGGTTTAAGGTTGATGATACAAACCCTACATTACCTTCATGACCCTGGATTATGGATCAGGGGTTAAGGGCTTAGGGTTTGGTGTCAGGAGTTCAGGGTTTAGGCTTAGAGATTAAAGGCTTAGGGTTAGGGGTTTAGGGGTTTGGGTTTAGGATGTAACATGTAGGGTTAAGGGCTTCGGGATGGTTAGCATGTAAGGTTTTGGATTTCGGGTTTATGGGTTAGACTGTGACTCAGTTCTGAATATCAGTGACACTTAAAGTGTTCAGGGCTTCTGGCCATTTAGTTAGTTCAGTTCGAAGCTTGAAAACCGAGCCGTTATTAGTCCTCGAGCTTCTTCAGTGCATGTCATGCAGTATGTTCGTGTCCTGAAGCTAATCCTAGCTCCCCAATACCCACCCTTTGAACTTTTTGGGTTCTCATAGTCTTGTAGTAACCGGAAATTGTAACCTTTATTTCTGTGGCTTATTGGGGAAGAAGGCAAATACAGCCATGCAGGCTGTGATGTCTTCTGGTTATGTTCAGTATGAAATCAGCAGCTATTTCCACATGTCCAGGGTACCAAAGGCAGTCGATTGACAGAACGCAAGCATGAGTGAAAAGGCTGGGGAGCTGTTGAAGCAAGTTGGGAGGGGTCTTTCCTAGGTACCCTTAGCATATCTAAGTGTGAAGCTCCCATACACGCTGCCGAAACTGCCTGAGCAACCTAAACCCTAAACCCTCAACCGCAGCCTTGACAGTCGGGTGTTGCAGTCTTTGGGTACGGATGTCCTTACACTATGTCGGCAGCTTGAGCGCTTTCGGAGCTTCAGAGTGTCAACTTTGGAGGTTTACGCTTTGGGAGTTTAGGGCATGGAGCCCAGAACCGCCTTCATGCACAACCCGCACCGCACATCTTGGCTTCGGGTTTGGAGGTAATCCTGCACCCAAGGCGTTAAAGTCTGTGAACAAGTCGTGCCTCTATGTCAATGTGTGTGTATGTGTGCGCAGATTGATCCGGAGCATCCCAAGATCGTTCCCTTCGGCCTGTCGCTGTCTGCAGCTGGGAGAGGATTTATACTCAGGGGCGAGTGCTTCGTAGATTTGCCTTAAGCCTTCTGCCCTAAACAATATGGGATTTGGGTTTGGCTGTAGCCGCATAGGATGTAAGTTTCTTAGTGGGCAGTGTTTATGAAATCCCTAAAGAGAAGGCATATAGGGGAAGGAATGATTACCAATACCATTCCTCTGGGTTCCTTATCAAAAAAGCTTATGCCCTCTACCTTTCATGTCCTAATCTTGTTATCGACGAGGGGACTAAGTCAGTAGGGTTGTAAGAAAGCTTTCGACGGCCTATCATCCTAACTTAAGTGCTTCTGAACCCGCTTATTAAGTCCCTGGCCCCCTGAACCTCTAAGTAGCTAACGCCTTATCGGCCCTGGTCCCCAAACCCTGGGCCCTCTACCCTAAACCTTAATCCACAAATCGCAATCCCAAAGCCTTATGTAGAGTGGTAGTCGTAGTAGTAGTAGTAGTAGTAGGATTAGTCAGAGTAGTAGAAGAGCCTACCTCCTACCTCCTACACACCGAGGAGGCTTATCTCCTGCTCCGGGGCTTGCTGATCAGCGCGAACTCGCGCAGACAGGACTCGAAATTGCGGAAGACCCAATCCTGAATAGTTACTAATGCTATTCTTCCGTAGGGCTCGGTAAGAAAAGTCGGTTCGCACCATAATTTACCCGAAAGCCCTATCATAATTATCAAGGCCCATGTATGAAACGGGAATCCGCGAGGCTTAATGTGGCTTCGCATGGGTCTCCCATGGGTATCCTTCAATTTCTTCGGGGTGTTACAACTTCCAAAGCGGACCCGAATGTTAAGTCTTGGGCCCCTGCTGAGCCCGATACTCTCAACCCTATGCTCTAGCTAGCCGGAAGCCCCAGTTCATGGTGCAGTTTTTCGGTCAGCCGCGCCACCCAGCGTTTCAGGCTTTGCTCTTGGGGCACACTCTTAGTCTATCTGATCTCTTCCTGGTCCTGCGACTTCGATCGAAGTGTCTTATGTCTAACTTTAACTTCTGCCAGGCAAAAAGCTGGATCACAAGTTCGGACCCCCGAACCTTAGTGGGCCTCTTCTTTGAGGGATTCCTTGTGTTGCAGTCGGACCAGGCATTCACAAACATAGCTGAACTAAAAGCTCAAAGTGCTTTAGAACTATGGGGTTGAGGGGCCTTGCCAGGACTGGGAGCATTCCGTGGTTGGCCAGCGAGTCTGCAAGTACTACGGTGATGGTGCCCTCCTCACTTGCATGTCACGCAGACTTGAAGCACTAAAACTGCAATGTGAACTTAGTAGCTGAGTGGCTACATCTTACACTTTCTGGGATAATAAAGCAAAACATGTTCTTTTGGGGGCTTATGAACTCAGCAACTAAGTAGACCACAAATAAGGACGTCTAGACCCCAAGTACAAGCTGTAAGCCCGACATTCCTACATCTTAGACCTGACAGCCCTCCAGCCTTAAGCGTACACCCCACGCGACCGAAACCCGAAGGCCAGAAACCTATAACCGAAGTCCTAGAAAGAGAGTTCTGAGCGCTTAGCACACCAACACCCTCTTCTGAAATATAATTCAGGCCCTCTATACTCTTACCTTTGGTTAGTAGGGAATGGAAGAATGGTAGTAATAGTAGTTCTCATTGTACCCCATTCCTCCATTCCCTCCTAACCAAAGGTAAGTTACTCTTGCGGATGCTGGGTGTTCACAGGCATGCCAGGCGCAAAGCACATGCCAAATGAACCATCAACCCGGGGCCACAGAGGGTGGGGGCAGGTGAGCCGGTAGCCTTTCGATTGAAGTTGTTAAGCTTAGGATTTGAAGCATCCTGTGCAGGTTCACTATAGTCTCCTTAGGAATTAATTCTTATTTTCATGCATAGAAAACCCACGAGAATATCATAAATTTTATGTTTGTTGTGGTTCTAAGGGGGGTATAGTGTAGTATGAAAAAACATGCACTACTAAATCCAGACAGCAGTTGCGCGCATCGGCAGATCCAGTTTGAGACAACCTGCAGACGCGGACAGGTCAACTTGGGGCCGGGATCATCAGTAATGCTTTAGGTACGGCCCCCACTCAGTAATAGTCGAATATGTTCATAATATAGATCTATTAGGACCGTAACAGTAGCCCTATTACAAACTCTTGCTATATTGGGGGCAGTACCTTAGTAATGCTATTGGTCAGGCTTAGTCTAGAAACGCTCTATGCCACACACCCTCTCTCTAGTCAGGCTTGTGGCTCATGGAATCACCCCTCAGGGAGGCTTTGGAGGGCCTACTGCCACGATGCTGGTATACATTGATACCGTATGAAAGCTTACAGATCATTGCAAGCTTATAACATCTGAAGCACACCCTTCCGCCCTAATGCTTTGAACCCTACACCAAAAATACTCGGAGGAGATCAGAACCCAGAGAAGCCCCATAACCGTAAAGCCATAAGTCCTACAGTGCTAGACCCTACAGTAAGCCCTGAACCCTGAAGACCCGAACCCCCTAAAGCCTAAACCTGAAATCCTGAACTCGAACCGCTCCCTCCAAGGTCATATTCTTTGCAGCGCAGTCCTTTGCGACCTCTACATGCGCGACCAGTGTCTCGTCAGGCGACATTTTAGGTTGGCAGGGGGGGATTCTTAAAAGCTGGGATGCGATCATGGGTGTAGGGGTTCAAAAAGGTTTGCAGTCGTGCGTGTAGGGGATGAGGAAGTTTAGGAGTTCATGCTTGGGTAGTTTGGGTCTTCTGTGCATTAGGGGTATGAGGTTTAGGGTATAGGGTTTAGGGTTTAGGGTTGGGGGATTGAGGTTATGGGGCCCTTCAGATTCGGTGTTTGGCGTTTAGGGTGCGCTGGGCTGGAAGCCTGACCACCCCAGCTTGGCACACGCAGGTTCTTGAAGTTCCTGTTGTCTGTTCGTGTACCCCACATTAGATAGAGCTACAGATACTTACATGCTTATATATATATATACACATACATTTAGACATATACATACATATAGAGAGAGAGAGAGAGAGACACAACAAGAACAAAGGTAAGTAGTACAGGGAGAGGGAAAGAAAGGAACACACACACACACACTCTGTCTCTCTGTCTCTCTCTTTCTCTCTTTCTCTCTTTCTCTCTTTCTCTCTTTCTCTCTTTCTCTCTCCCTCTCTCTCTCTCTCTCTCTCTCTCTCTCTCTCTCTCTCTCTCTCTCTCTCTCTCTCTCTCTCTCTCTCTCTCTCTCTCTCTCTCTCTCTCTCTCCTCACGTATCTGTATATGTATGTATATATGTATACTCGCTACAGCAATCATAGCGACAATGGTGATGACACAAAGACTAACAATAATGTATCAGAGCAGTCTTAAGAACAGAAATAGTACTGGCAGCACTAGCAACCACGATTAATAGTGAGACGGATACTATTGTTGTACACAATAATGGTAACATAGGGAAAGCATCTTGCAGTAGCCTGTCTCTTGAAAGGCATGCCCCAACAGGAACGCAAGTTGCGGACATTGAGGGTTTTCCGTGTTCGTGGTACCGGGTGGCAGGACGTAGGGTGTAGATACCTCAAGCATGGTTGCACGAGTGAGTAAATAGAGTCGTCGACATGGCGGTACTCTTCGCCGTTTTGCTCGCTGTGGCTGTCGTCGACGTGATGGTGGCACTGGCAGCAGCAGCCGCGACGACAGCAAAACTGACAACAACGACACTGCTGCTGACTAAATCTCGATTCTTAACGCTGGCACTATGAAGAATGGCAGTTGTAAAACAATGCGATGATCGAGTAAGCGTTAATACGCTTCATGCAAACTGGAAGACCTGAACCTTCAAGCTCTACACCTCCCCTCGCACGCTGCCGAGGATTGATGTGCACCACTGGACGCTTCAAGAAGGAAGCGTTGCTGTACCCTACGATGTCCAGACCCGCAAAGGCATGCTTGCGTTTGAGAGTTACACATCAAGGGCTTTCACAAGATTTGCAACGAAACGGTTGTAGGGAGCTTGGTGCAACTTGACATTTCATTCTGGGTTCCCCGGCTTTGCTCGCGTACTTCATGGGGATCTGAAGCTGCTCCTTTAGGTTTATATAAGGTACACAGTGCCGCTGTGGCACCACGATCCCACAATCTACTACCTGGGAGTTCAGAAAACACAAGATCCTATAGGTCACAGGCAGGATGGCTCCTGTTTATGAGTATCAAGCTTCAGAAAGTAAGAGACTCCCAAACTAGATGTTTTTCGACAGTTGTTTCTGTTCGCAACCGTAAGAACCCAAGGGAGCTTCAAGCCACAATGCTTAGTTTAGGTTCATGGGCGAATAGCCATGATCTCAGTTTCTCATGAGTAAACCACCATGTGAAATACATGCCCCCTACAGGCCCGAGTTTGTAATCCACCAGCCTCATGGGAACCGGTCTACCCTCGGCGAGAGCATGGACACCTTCCGGCCCACTCGCTCTCCGGGGGTCAGAAGCAACCAAGGCCATCCTGCTATACTGTTCCAGGAAACCAGGCAAGGTTGTCCGTTTCAGAACAGAGTCACCCAAGATTTGGGGCTTAGGCAGAAGGAGCAAACGCACCAGCAGTAGCAGTAGTTCTCGAAGGTATGTTTCTTAAGGAGGCCCACGTTCTCACGCGGTTCCGGTGAACCTCGATTCCTAAACCTTGAAACCGCAAACCCTAAAAATCGTAAACCCTAAACCCTAAAAGGCCTGCACCAGATGACTGAGTTGTGACATAGCTGCCCCCAGGGCACGGCCTACGAGGAGCCAAAGCTGAAGGTATTGATAGTTGAACCATGTGTAGCGCTGGACTAAAGCCTAGTACCTTAACCCTAATACCCTAAACCCTCGACCTTACATTCGACAAAGGAATAAGAATAACACATGTGCGCAGGTCTTTCTGCAATGGATCACTTCCTAGATCACTATGCGGCTTGCCTGTGAGTGTTGGGGTCCGAAAAGTACGGCATCCTCATCGGAGTTCATGGAAATGGTTACTCGTCTTGTCATTGTAGCAGGGCTGAAGGTCTAGGATTCATAGTTGTGAGTTTTCCGATTTCGTGGTGTTTGGGCCAGTTAAGAACTACAAGATTTTCAGAGGTGCAACTGATTTTTGGTTCTGTGCTTCTGTTGGCACCAACCCATGTTCCAGCAAAGGAACATCTTCAATATCGCGATTCTCAAGTTATACTATACTAATAAGCATTCGCACCTGGATGAAGCACTTTTCGACGCTCCAGCACTTGGGGCTGTCTGTTGTAGACGTGGAAGTGGCAGACAATGTAGGGTTTAGGGCTTCATTTTCCAAACACGTAAACCCCCCGGTGGTTTCTCTTCTTACTTTTGGTTAGTAGGGAATGGAAGAATGGCAGTAGTAGTAGCTATAATTGTACCACCTTCTCTCATTGCCTACTAACCAAAGGTTTCTCTCGTCTTCGCCCGGCACCTCTCTCATTGCCTTTGACTTTTCGGACATCTTCGGACCCACACTCACATACAGAATCCCGAGAGTAAAGCGCTGTCTGCATACCGTCCCTAAACCCTAAACCCTGAAGGATTTTTTGGGGTGTGATTCAAGTCTTCAGATCCTTCAGGATCCCTAGCAGGACCCTTCTATGCTTTGAGGGGAATCCGAAATCTACCACCCTATCACCCTAAATCCTAAACATGGAAGCTCAGATGGTTGGGCAGATATAAAAAGGAGCTCAAAAAAAACAACACCAAACCACCCAAACCCTAAACCTAGCCCACGGATGCATTGTCTTGAAGTTCTGGGGCCGACGTTAGGAGCCCTGTAGTGACGGTAGGAAAGAGGTCCGGATCATTAATTACTAGAAATGCTCCCTTGTTCCCTGGTAGTCCTCATTGACTTGTAGTAGCATGTATACCCCAGCCAGCAATTCGACATACTCGGACCCCTAATTTCAAGTCGATCCAGGGGCTAAGGGTTTAGGCTTCAGGGCTTGCAAGCTCCCTGTTCGAGGTGCCCTATACCGATTCCATGCTTCTTGGTGTTTCTGGCTTTGGAGAGTTCCACATTTATCAGGGGCTCAGGTGCTCGGTCCCACCCTTTACTTTAAGCCCGCAGAACGGGTAGGGCTCGTTGTCTTAAGGTTGCTTCTTTGAAGCTGTTTTCTTGAGGTGGTTGCTTTCGGATTGCGGGGTTTCGTTGTTACATCGTTCTTCACAGTACCTGTTCCTGCTGCTGAAATCTCCTCTGCTCACGTGTGTCAACATCTGGGGGGTCTGCAGGTATTGATATGTTTGTTGCCAAAAAGACGACACTCAGAAAGCAATTGAAGGCACTTCAGACAAATTGATCATGATTGTAAGCCCCGACAGAAACCCTCAGCCCCAAGACCCTAAATCCCAAGCCCCACAACCCTAAATCTAGAGAGCACTAAGGTTGACTTCGAAATCTCGAGCTTTCTCCCCAAACATGATGGTCCCAATGGAAGGGCCACAAGCTACCCTAAACCCCTAAACCCCCAAACCCCTAAACCCTAAACCCTAAACCCTAAACCCTAAACCCCCAAACCCCTAAACCCTAAACACCTAAACCCTAAACCCTAAACCCTATTGTGAGCTGAGTGACTTTCGGGATTCAGGGGCGTGAGCGTTTCAGGGCTTAGGGGTTTAGGGCATTAGGGGTTTAGGGGTTTGGGGTTAAGGGTTTGGGGTTTAGGGTTTTGGGTTTTAGGGTGTAGGGTTTGGGGTTTAGGGGTTTAGGGTTTAGGGTATTTGGGGTTTAGGGTATTCGGGGTTTAGGGTATTAGGGGTTCAGTTGTTTGGAGTCTATAGCGTGTGTAGGGCCTAAGGTTTAATTAAGGCTTCAAAGGTTGCAGGGGTGGAGGCGTGAGAACGCGACTAGCGGTTCAGGGCAGGTTTTTTGCGGCTCGTTGCACGAAAGTTCTTGCTGCCGCAGCACCTTCTCGGACATTGCGGGACGTACGTCCCACTGAGAGATTAACTGGCACTGTCGCGCGCGCGTGGTCCCTTTCAAGAAACACTTCTTCTCGTTGAAACGGCCTTTGAAGGCCGGATCGAAACTCCCTTGCCTTGCTTTTAAGATGCACTGCGAATGGAGTCTCAAGCGAGGCTGACTAGCTGGTGGCCATGTGTGCTTTATGCAGCAAAGATAATATCACGCATCGCACCGGCAGGGTTTTATTCTGAACGGGCCAGCACTGGGATGCTCGAGAACGGACACATGTTGACTTGGGAATATCAGCGTTAATAGGCAAAGGATTCTGTGAAGAGTTTAACTAATCAAGGCACTTAGAGCTAACATGAAAGCATTGCATGGCATTCAATAACTATCTCGTGCTACGGTAACTTAGTGAAATGTCCCTAAGCCCTAGACCTCTGAACCCTTAAACCCGTAAACCCCTAACTGCCAAACCCCTAAATCCTAAACCCCTAAACCCCTTTAACCTAAACCCTTAAACCCCTAAACCCGAAACCCCTAAATCTCTAACCCCTAAAGCCCCAAACCCTAAACCCTTGAACCCCTGAACCCTAAATCCCAAACCCCAAACCCCTAAACCCCTAAACCCAAGCCCCCTGAAACCCCTAACCCTTAAACCCCTAAACCCCCAAAACCCTCAAAACCCCAAACCCCTAAAGCCCTAAACCCCTAAATCCCAAAAACCGAAAACCCTAAAGGGAAACCCGAGGTTTCGGGACATGCGAATGCCGGCCCATCTCGGCGAAGCCCCGATCTGGGTCTCGGGCTCAGAGAGCTTTTCGTTTAGGGCTTCTTAGGGTTTTAGGGTTCAGGGCTTATAGGGTTTAGGGTTTATGGGGGTTTTAGGGCTTGTAGGGTCTAGGGCTTATAGGGCTTATAGGGCTTATGAGCTTGATGTAGGGGCCTTTAAAGTGGTTTATAGGGGGGTCTATAGTAGGGTTCTATGATATAGGGGCCTTAATAGTTCGAATGGGGAATTAGGGGCCTTTATTCTATATATACTTATGATAAGGACCCCAAAAAAAACGAAATAGTATTGCCAATGATTTTGGCCCCTACATTAGGGTTTAAATTAGGGCTTGCGGTAGGGTCTCGGGGTTTAGGGGCTTGGGGGTTCAAGGTTTTGGGGCGAGCCTTCAGGGTTTCGGGCTTAGGGTTTAGGATTCTGCGTTTATGGTTAAGGGTTTAGCGTATGCATGGGGCTGATTCAATGCTGAAAGTTTTGCCTGGTTTGCGCGGCTTCATCAGCAGGGGGTGTTAACCCAGAATGCCCGGAGTCACCTTAAATGCGCTACATTCCTTGATATCACATTAAGGACCAGATTGTAAGCTGAAGGATAGTCTTGTTCAAATGGACGTTGGCTCTATGGGGAGACCGAAATGTCACTTAGTCTCGGCTTTGCTCGTCGAAGGTTTTGAAGAAGCGGAAGTCGTTACGTCCACCTTCGGTTTCCTGACCCAGACCCCCGGGAGGATCTGGAAAGTAGATCCCCTAATTTGGGCCCAATACTACTAGAAGTACTTTATAGGAAGCCCCTTTAAGGGATCTACTTTTTGGATCCTCCCGGTGGTCTGGGGAAGCAGCTACAGTAAAAGCCAGAAAGTTGGAATATTATTATCCTAAACCCTTTATGGTAAATTATAGGGTATCCTGCCATGAAACCATATTCCAACATTCTGGAGTTCCCTATGACCTACATTTTTAAGGAACTATATATAGAAACCATAATAAGGGACCCTAAAAAGGTAGGTCTAGGGTTCCTTCAAGGACGAACAGTTATGTAGGATCAGAAGTAGGTTCCGACGGCGCCTTTGTCAGGGCGCCGTTTTCGTAGCTGAGGAGGTACCTCTAGCCCTTCGGGTATTTCAGGTCGTATACACGAGTTTCCGAAAATTAGGGGCACCTTATTTAGGGGTCCTTATAAATCCTACGATTTAGGGTACTATATCAAGACCCCTATGTTCGGAAACTCCCATACAGTCCTACATATACTGCCAAGGGCGAATGCTTCTTGGGCCAGCAAAATAGCTGCGAGAGCTTGTTCTGGTTTTGTTGTAGACTTCCGCCACAGCAAGCTACCCACTCAAGTATAAGTAGTTATACCAAGGCTTTAGACTTAAGGCTTTCGGAGTTGGGACGCCCTTTGCCAGAATTTAGAACCGGTCCTTTACCTAAACCCTGATCCAAAGTCCAAAACAACTCCGCCCCAGCGTGGTATACTACACAGAGTTCCCACTCCGGCACTATACCTCGGAATACGATCACCATTTCGTCCAAATGCAATCAAAGTGTAATATACACCCAAACCCTGTTCTGATTTAGCATGCCCCCATGATAAAACCCTGAAAACACACGGCCAGAACAGTCGGTTTCTAGAATACCAACCCGGCTGCGGTAAGGGGTTGAATCACCACGGTTCAGAGAAGCTTGAACCACATACCCTAAGCCCTAAACCCGAAACTCCGAACCCGAAATCTTAAGCTCAGCTTTACAGGTGGAAAAAGGTGCTGAAAAAAAACACCTTAGGCCCGAAACTCGAAGCTCATTAGCAGGACAGCTTGGAGAAGAAAGGCTTCATTGACAACCACCGGCCTTCGGCAGAGCGGAAATGGGGGCCCGGGCCTCTGTCTGAATTGCACAGATGAGAGCTATAGGGTTTAGGCTCTAAGGACTCATATTTTGAGGCTTTTGGGCCCAAAGACCATACTATGTAAGGCTTTTGGGCTATTTTGAGCCTTAGGGATAGGGTTTAGGCTTCAAGGAGGAAGGAATAACAAAAACATGCGAGGACTACTAAAACCCTACACCCTAAACCCCGAAGGACTAATTACTATAAGGAGCCATTCTCACCACTTTAAATTGAAGCACCAGTAAGTGGAGGCTCCAGGTCGAGGGAATCCGGCTTTGAGCTGTGGGGCTTCGGGTTTCGGGTATAGGGCCAACGTAGGGTTAGGATGCAAGGTTTTTTGGGTTTAGGGGCTTGGGTTTGGGATTTAAGGTTTTGAAGATGGACTTGAGGGTTTTTTAGTTTGACGTTTAGGGTATGGTTTTGAGTTTCAAGGCTTAGGTTGATGACTTCAGGTTTGTAGGATGTAAGGGGTGACGCCCTCAGGGTTTAGAGGTTTGGGGATTAAGGCAAGGTTGAGGGTTTAGGATCCAGGCAATCCTGTAAATTTACGGCCCACGGTTTAATTTTACAGTAGTGTTGGGCTTACTTTGTCGGGAATCACTGCGTCACCCACCAAAACGATCTACAGCTCACTACCCATCCAAACGAGGCCACGGCACTGTGATGCACACGACATCCCAAGCATCGCAAAATCAAACCCACCGTTCCGATAGTCTGCTTTCGGACATTGGGTTGCGATTAATACAGGGGCTTTAATAATTATAATAGGGTTTTGGGGCCAACTATACTGTAATCCTAATAGTATGGAGCCCCCCCCCCAAAGTGTGTTTAATTATTCAGTCCCCAATATTACACCCTACACCCTAAGCCAGCAGTTTGACGTGACGTGCATTTTCAGCCGCATTTCAGCCAGGATCAGCCGGCGCCCCGTGGACGTCGGCATCTCAAAGGGTTTGGGGCTCGGGTTAAGAATTTGGTGGTGTAGGGCTTGTGGGTTAGATGAGTTTCGAGTTTAGGGGGTTGGGGTTTGGGGGATACAGCAGTTTTGCGACGTAGCTCGGACTGAGTTCTACGACTACTATACATTGCTGCTGCTGCTACTCCTACGACGACGATGCTACGATTACTGCGACGATGACGGCTGCGACGGTTAATGTGACCTCCGCTTTTCTCTGCATTTCGCTGAGTGCAGTTTCAATCGGGGTTTCTTTTGTGGCCCCACCGTCATCAGACCCAACAAAGCACAAAGTCTGCAGACCCTCGAGGTCTAGGGTTCTACCCAAAAGCCCTGAGACCCCCAACCTTCGAGACATAAGACCCTAAACTCCAAACCCCTGCGACTCATACCACGGGGGCCCAAATAAGTACCATTGTTTTTTTTTTTTTTTTGGGGGGGGGTCCTTACTGTAGTTGTAGTAGAATGGGCCAGTAAACCTTATGTCTGATTATTAAGGCCCTTTCTTAAATCCTTGTAATAGCCCGCATAGAACCCTTTCCAGGAACCGTTTAAAGGACCCCTATCTAATGATTAAGGCCCCTATAGTAAATCCTTGTAATAGCCCTTATACAACCTTTTAAAGGAGCCCTTTAAAGGAACCCTGTTCTAACTATTAAGGCCCCTTTTCTTAGAGCCATACAGCCTTGAGAAGGTGTGGGATCTCGTCCGACGCGACGTGCTCCTGGATCTCCGTGAAGGTACCTCCACGCAGAGGGTTTAGAGTTTATAGGGTTTGGGGCTGATGGCAGCATTGAAAGAATGATTGCAATTGCAATTAACGGGTAGCGAAGTGAAAGCACGTAGTGATCGGAATCACAACATGAAATCATGACTGCTTTGCAGGGGAACCCCCGATGGCCCTTTAATGGGGCCCTTATGATCCCGAATAGTGGGTGTTTAGGGTATATTAGGGGGTCGTTGAGGGGTCTAAGTCTGTATCCATCTTTTAAAGGAGGCATTGAAAGACACCCTTAAACGAACCCGCGAGCGCTGCGCCCTACGAAGGTTACATCACGGCGGCACGTCTGCTCTACGACAAGGGCTTCGAAGATCCGACAGAGGAGGCCAGCCCCCGGCGGTTTGTAAGGTAGAGTTTGAGGAGTTTAGGTGTTATACTTTAAGGTTTAGGGTTTCAGGTTGAGGAGTTTACTTTAAGGTTTAGGGGCTATATTTTAGGGTTTAGGGTTTGGGGCAGCCTCTTTCAGCAAAACCTGCCCCGAAGCGATACGTTCAAAATCAAGGGGCCTTGAAAGGCTCTTTAAAATAAAACGGCCTGAGGAGGTAGTTCTTTAAGGCAAGGGTCTAGATAGTTTGCATGTTTATTTTCTCCTGGCAGCGGGGCTGCAGGGATTGAAAACCTGGAACAAAACCAATTTGAGAACTTGTTGGCTGCGCCCTAAACCCTAGAACAAAATTCTTGGTGTGTCTGGGTGTGGGTTCCAATGTCAGAGTAGCAGACAGCAGCGAGGAAGCCTGGCTTCCCCGGGCCTCCAGTGCATCTAGGGTTGGACATATCGGTACTTCCCGGTCGGTTACGGGTTTAGGGGGTTAGGGTTTAACATTTAGTGTGTAGTAGCAACAGTCATAAGAATATGGTCAGGGATATTGAAAGAATTGTGTAACACAGCGACACTCTCATAGAACCAGTGGCCAAGTCCAGAGATCCTCCTGAGAATGAAGCATGCGGCATCATTTGTGCTTCCCTGAGCCACCTAGCGAATGCATGCTTTTCCAGCATCTTAGACTTCAGCATGCAAGCCTGCAAACTTGACCAACTGCCCTCGATTTGCGGGTGGACCAAAACAGAACTCAGAGCAACTGCCAAACTACACCAAACGGTAAATTCCGCAAATAATGCCCTAAACCCTAAAACCTAAACCCTAAACCCCGAAACCCTGAACCCTAAATCCAATCCGGCCGTGGCTTTGCAGCCTGCACTCTTCGCATAGGGCAAGAAGCCGTCGGCCAACTGCTACGACTACGCTGGAACTGGGCTTGTAGTGCTTTATAAAACACTACAAGCCCAGTTCCAGCAGTTTTATAAAACACTACAATCTTAGGTGCATAGCAACGGCTGAAATCACGGCAGGAAGCTCTGTTGGTTTGTATGATGGATGTCTTTCCAAGATCCTTCGCTAAACCCCGAACCCTACTCTGGGTATTGGCATGTTTTAACACTCGCTTGGGCAGTTGTTCAGCTCTTCCGGCTCAAAGTTTCTAGAGCGTGTTTGGAAAACACATTCGCCAGGACGCATATCCCGGGAATGACTTGCCTAATCTCTACACCCCAGCCAATCATCTATGCAGATGTTCTGGATCTGTAGGCCTGAGTCCAGTTTAAGCAAAAGCAGCATCGATGTTGAAGACTCTGAGTATCCACCGTGCAAGGATCCAAACGACATCCTCATGTTCTGCTACCTCCTCCAGTGCCTGCCGGGCGTTTGGTTAGGCTTGAGGTTTGGGGCTTACAGTTTGGGGTTCAGGGCTGAGGGTAGAGGATTTCAGATTTTCGCCCAGACTGCAAAATCCTGAGCAGAATTCCGAAGTCCCACTCTAGCTTCCCCCAGAAACACGAAGGCTCCTACTCCTGGTTCCCGAGGACAGAAGACGCTGAACCTATCTCAAACCCCGGAGCCAAAGCGCGAAATGTGAACCAACGGCCCTAAATCCTAGACCCTGCTAACACCCCTAAGTCCCAAAACTGATATCAAACTCCAAGACCCAAAGATCAGGCTCTGTCCTACAGGACCCTGCATTATAGATTGAAGTCCAGAAGGGTTCGAGGATTGGCTTTGAAGGCCTAGGCTCGGGAACCTGAACGGGGTCCTTGGAGGGTTGGGGTTTCAGGTGTTCGGGTTCCTTCAACGGTTCCTCTAAGACTATTCGTGCCTTTTTAGCGGGTTTAGGGTTTCAGGTTTTGGAAAAACGGTTCCTCTAAGACTTTTCGTGCCTTTTTAGAGGCTTTAGGGCTTCGGTTCCAAGCGTTGCTTAGATGCAGAGTTCAAGAGGGTGGTTGTCAAAATTAGGGTCCCTTTCTGGGTCCATATTATAATACGGCACCTAATGTTTAGGGTACCCAAAAAGGGACCCTAATTTTGACAACCACCCAAGAGTCTTAGAAGCGCAGGCTTCTGCAGGTCCAGGGGTCGGGGCGTAGGGTTTAGGGCTTATAGGGTTTAGGGCTTAGGGTTTAGGGTTTAGGGCTTATAGGGTTTAGGGTTTAGGGCTTAGGGTTTAGGGTTTAGGGCTCAGGGTTTAGGGTTTAGGGCGTAGGGTTTAGGTTTTCGGGTTTAGGGCTCTGGGTTTCAAACAGGGTTCGGGATTAGACGACTTGGGGTTAAGGGGGCTTAAAGCTGTGGGCCATCGAGTGTAAAAGCAGCTGCGGTTGAAGGCTTAGGGGTTTAGGGTTTTCGGGTTTAGGGTTAATTCAGGGTTTGACGCGTAAGTCGCAGGTACTTGTTTGATGTCAGCGTGGAAGCGCTCAACGGCTTTGCTCGCGTCATGCAGAAGCTCTGCCCACCTTTTCAGAAGGCGGGAATGTGTTCCTATTGTCAATCGTCCCACCCCTTAGACTCTCAAAGGGGCTGTCCCACTCACAACCCGAAACCCTAAAACCCCAAGCCTCAAAACCCCTAAATCCCTAACACCCTAACCCCTAAGCCCTTCATACAGAAGTCCGTATAGCTCCGTCGTTGGAATTGCGTCAGCGCGTGCACGCGCTGAGCAACAAGCAGCTGTTGCAGCTGCTGCAGACGGCGGAGAAGGACAGCATTCCGATTCCGGATCAGCCACTCCAATGGCCCAAGGTGGCTGAGGTGGAAGAGCGCCAAGCGGCGAACACCGCAACCGGAGCCGAAGTCGTGATGACCAGCACATGAGAAGAACGTCGAGAATTGAGCCTTGTAGGGTTCCCTCTGAGTGCATGCCCCTATGGGGTGGGCTGCGAGACATCGAAGAGTCCAGAAACTGGAGAAGCTCTTCAAGAACGGTGACGATGCTACAGCGTTGGCCTATGCCAAGAGCCGACTCCGCCGACTCGTTCCATTGAAGGCTGGACATGAAACCTTCGTTGCGGCTCACCACCTTAAGTGCTTAGACCAGGTCCACCTGCCCGATGCAGCTCTGAGCATGCTGCGCCCCTTGTGCCGTCCCGAGCCTCGCGAGATCTGCAAACCCTAAACCCCCTAAACCCCTAAACCGACCCCCTAAACCCCTAAACCCCAAAACCCCTAAACCCCTTGAAGTGTGGAGGTGCCTTCGCCTCCTTGCAAACCTCGGCTTTCGAGGGTAATTGTTTGGTTTGGAGATCTGGGGGCTTACCTGTAGCCGGAATGCCTTTTTAGGGTCCCTTATTATGGTTTCTATATATAGTTCCTTAAAAAGGTATACCTAAAGGGAACTCCAGAAAGTTGGAATATGGATTAATGGTAGGATCCCCTATAATTTACCTTAAAGGTGTTACGATAGTGATATTCCAACTTTCTGGAGTTCCCTTTAGATTCTGAGATTTAAGGTTCAGGTGTTTAGGGTTCAGGGTTTAGTGTGTTTAGGGTTTAGGGGTTTATGGTTTAGGTTTTTTAAGGGGTTTAGGGTTTAGGGTTCAGGGTTCAGGTTTGTTAAGGGCTTAGTCTTCGAGGATTTTTTCTTTTGTGAACCCACCACTCGAAGACCCCAAAACAGCCCTAACTCCTGAACCCACGTCTCAGACCGGATTCCAGAAGCATTCCTCCAGTTAAAGAATGAGTTCTCAAGAACCGACCTTGGGGGTTTTCAAGTATCATTTTCAAGATAGGGGCGTTTAGGATGAGGGACCTTCGGGCTTAAATTTAGGCAGTTTAAGATAGGGCCGTTTAGGGTTTAGGCAGTCTTCGGGTTTAGGATTTCTAAGACGGGGCCATCTAGGGTCTAGACCTCAACCTACCAAAACCCGTTTTCTTGTAGGGTCCCTATAAATTCGGTATTAGGGTTTATACTAAGAACCTCCAAAAATGTAGGGTTTGGTAGGTTAAGGTATAGGTTTTAGGGGACTCGACTGGGCTGCCCAACAGGGAGAGCTCTTCCCGCCCTTGAATGGTGTGCATGCCGGCCGGCCGCTCAGACGTTTAGGGATTCCGGAATCTGGGTTTAGGGATGGGGGATTACGACTTATACGGATTGGGGACCAAGGTTTAGGGATTATAGGATTTACGCTTTAGGGATTGGTGAGGGGGCGTCTGCAAAACCGAGCCTCGTGACAAGCCAGGGTGTGTGAAAATCGAGCGGCTCTTGTTCAGATACCTTGAATCCCTTTGATGATATCCTTTATCTGATCTTCTAACTTTCGGAAGAGCCAGATTTTCTTCACCAAACCCGGACCGATATTTAGGAAGATGGATTCCTTTGGGACTCTACAATCCATCGACCCCATATATCTAGCCCGTAACTTTCGAAGATTCGAAGCCCCAAAGCCCCATGGCCTAAATCCGAGCAGGAGCTATTTTGAAGGCCTCCTACATCGCATTGCGTAGGGATCTTCATTAGTAAGAGCCCTTATAAGCTAAAGGGGCCTCCAAGCCCCAAAACCCAAGGCCTCCTGAGGAATCCTTTTCATTCATCCACGAACACGGCGAAAGTATGTAGGAGCCTAAAATTATAAATATTTACCAATAGCTCCGGGCTCGAGACTTGCCAGTTAGTGGAGCTGCTAACTACCGATCCTCGAGGGTTCCGTTCTCATGGTGGGGGATCCTCGCTTGTCGGGGCTGCCTTTCGGATCCATCATTGACATGGTGGCTTATGTCAGAAGTTCGGACCTACATGGGGCGACTTTCGAGGCTTTGTGGAACCAAGAACAATTTCGGTGCGCGGGCTCTTTTGAGGCTGACCGGGTGTACACCTTTTATGGCATACAGTATCGTGGGGTGATCAGCTCACTTCATCATCTGTGTGTCCTGGAGAACACCATTACAATCTGCAGGCCAACCCTGACCGCTGATTCTTACAGGTCCGTCAAGGAGGTTTGTGCAGGACTTGGTGGGATTTCCATTGGGCTTCAGCATTTGGGAGGTCGTAACTTGGCCGTGCTTGACAACAATCCAGTTGTCTGTTCGGTCCTTAGGGCCAATTTCGACACTGTGCTGGAAGGCGACATTACAGACAGGACTGACCGCATCAGGCTACATCAAATTTCGCCCGAAATCCGCGGCATGCTTTGCGCCAGCATCCCCAGTTATGGTTTCCCCCCTTCCGGTTTAGGCCCAGGTTCCCTTGACCCTAGGCAAGAGATCCTGGCACATGTGTTGCAGACCACGTGGCACTTGCAGGCCTGTTGCCTCGTGCTGGAATGCTCGCCGGACATTGCCTTAAGCCCTCAGGCCATGCAGAGCATCACACAGCTTGCGGAGAAGGCCAATTTCGAGTTGCACTGTGTTGCCCTAGAACTTGCTGACCAATGGGCATCCCACCGTTGCAGTTGGTGGGCTGTCTTGCTTCCGGCTGGCCTGCCGCCCTTGCAGCTTTGTTCCTGGCCAGTGTTGCGCCCTGCACTCACTGTTCAGGATGTCATTCCTGAATGGCCTGTCTGGCCCAAAGCCACTGAAACTGCGCTTCAGTGGGACTCCAAAGAGATCGAAATCATTGGCGAGCCGAAGCCTGATCTTGAGCCACTGCTTCTAGCGGCTACGGACCCTGCGCCCACCGCTCTTCACAGTTGGGGCTCTGCTTTTCGGCCCTGCCCTTGTGGTTGCCGCCCCTCTGCATTGAGCCAACACAGCCTTTGCAAATCACATTTCAGAGGGCCTGGTGTTCCGTCTGGTGTTGTTGAGGGCATTCGCTATCTGCACCCGGCTGAGGTAGGGCTGCTGAATTCTTTGCCACCTCTCTTTCTTCACCACCCTGACCCTAGGACTGCCCTCTGCTTTGTGGGTCAGCTTGCTGCCCCCCTTCAGGCGCTATGGGTATGGGCACATGTGCTTTCTTCCACGGCTCCCTGTTTCGGTGCTGGCCCACTCGATCCTCTTGCTGAGTTGGGTAAGTTCAAGACACTCTTGTTGCAACAGAGACAAGATAACTGGCTTCTTCCTACCATGTGCAACGAAGGCCAGCTGCTTTTGCAGGATGAACAAGGTCAGCGACTTGAGCGCGCAGTTGGGCCGATAACCGCTGGCCAACTCATTTGTGCTGAGACAGCTCTTTTGCCCCCGGGCTTCAAAGTGCAGGTTCTGGACAACGGCCGTGTTCTTCAGCGCTCGGCCAAGCTTGCTTTTCAACCAGCCGGCCCCTCCTACTACCTGCTTGTACAAAAGAAGGCGGCCGCTTTGGATCAACAATCTCTCCCGTGCATGCCAAGCTGCAATGCCACTCCCCGTGGAGGCTGCTCTGCCTCGGTGGCCCTTTCCCCTCCTGCTTCCTGCGACCCGCCGGAAACACAAACACCCCTGTCGACTCCACTCGATGCCTTGTGTTCTGTCGGAGCATCAGACTTCACCATTTGGTACGGCATCCTCCAGTGGATTCGCTGTCCTGCTGTCAGCATTGAATCCTGCTTGATTCCGCCCTGTGCTGCTGAGCTCCTGCTGCAGCTGTTGAGTGAGGACCTTCTCACTTCTGTTGCCGGCCCCATCTTGCCGCAGGGCCCTCTTATTCTGGTCCCTTTCGTTTCCCAGGGCCACTGGTCTCTGCTTGCACTTCGTGCTGGGCCTGCAGGTGTTGAGGCTGAATTGTGGGACGGAATTCCAGGCCGCAACCTGCACACTGCCAAGCTGATTGCGCAGGTACTCTGTCGACTGGATGGGGCAGCCTTGCTGTCTTTGACTGAGAGATCGCACTGGCTACAGCTTGATCCTGCTGCCTGTGGTGCCCATGTGGTGGCACATGCTGCTGCCCTTCTCATTCAAGCGGCTCCGCATGAGCTGCTCGGCTGGGCCTTGGATTTTCAGCGTGCCTTCCCGCCACATCTTGCTTTTCTTCAAGGTCTTGGCGGTCTGACTCCTGAGCAGGAGAAAGACTTGCGACTCTTGCTTGTTGAGAGAGGTGTGCCTGCCGATGCCGTCGCCTCGCGCACACAGGCTGCTATAGCTAAGGTCGGTCCCGGCCCTATTGCACAAGCACTCTTGCAGAAAAACCCTTGGCAGGCGCTGAAGGCTTGTGCTTCCAAGCCTTCTTGCATGTTCCGTTGGATTCTGGCAGAAGAGCTTCAAAGTCATGTGGAACAGCAAGCCCAAAAGAAGTTCGGAACTCAGGTCCCAGGAGCTAAGTCCAAAAAGGCTAAGCCTGCCCGGCGACAAATGCAGGCTCCGTTGCACGTCGACCCTTTGCAGCTTCGTCTTGCCCCAGGCTCCTTCACCACGGCCTCTGACTCGCCACTGGGCCAGCTTGCCTTCAATGAGGTTTGTGCTCAAGCCACGGGCATCTGCTTCTGCACCACTGCCCAAGCTGCCCCATTTGTGGCCCAGGCAAAGAATCTCAGTGTTGATCCACTTGCTCTCGTGACCACAGCCGAGATTTCCGCTGATCAGGTTGGTACTGCCAGGGTCAAGAGCATTCGCTATCCTGCGATTTTCGCTCCTACTGAGGAGGCTGTTCTGGTTGCCGGTTCCTTGATCCAGCTTGGTGATGATGATGTGCAGCTTGCCACTGCTGGCATTGCTGAACTTGACCGCATTGACACTATAGTTTGCCGGCTCAACCTGTTCAAGGACGAGAGCACTCTGGCTTGGGATAAGGTTGCCGAGGCTCCCATCCGAGTGCTTCTGCAACAGATCCCCGCGCTCCGGGTCTGTGTAGACCCCTCGTGCAGCCAGGCCTGTGGATGCTTCCACTCAGCTGTTGACGAGGTCGTGGAACACCTTTTCCTTGACATCTGGGCCCGCCAGTGGTGCCGATTAGGTGGGGCAAGGGTTAAGGCGACCGAAGCTGATGTTTTCCAAGCTTATGTGCGTGTGCCGGCCTCAGCGGTGACTCACCTGCTAAAGCTTGTTCACACAGGCCTGTATTTCGAGCCTCGGGCTTGCGACGGCACTGGCCCCCACCCTGCATGGTCTGTCGTGTGGTTGCCGGGAGCCTCTCTTGCCACTGCACAACATGCTCTTCGCACGACCGAAAAGGCCCTTGCACTTGCCAGGTTGGGAACCAAGTACGGTTTGAGAACTCGGGAAGCCGATGAGCAGCAGGTTTTCGAGCTGCACAGGCCCCAACACCAATTCTTGAAGGTGCGGGTCTCGGCCCACTACCGTTTGCACCCGCTCCCTCACGGACTGCAACGGCCGGCTCTGGTCCAGCTCCTGAAACAGTGGGGCTGGAACGGCAAACCTCTCCAGCCGGATCGAGGTGACTCCATTGGTGCTGCATGGCTCGTCGGGGCCTCATGTGAGCCCCCTGCTCCTGCCCTGCCGCTTGGCACTGACTTCGTTTTGATCTCCAAGCTTCGTGACATTGGTGCCTCTGGGAAATCTGCCCCTCTGCCGGTCTACGCCTCTTTGCGTACCAAGAAAGCTTTGCTGCTTGATGACGACGAGCCCAGTGTTGACCCATGGTCGTGTGGCCCGGACCCATGGACTTTGGCCAAACCTCCGACCAACTCTACTGCTGCCCCTTCGGCCTCTACTTCGACTGCCAGCACTAAGCTCGAGCAAATCAAGGCGGACTTGCGCCAAGACCTCCAGCAGCTCGTCAGCGACCAGCTTGATGCCAAGCAAGCCAATGATCCCCCGCCGGGGTTGAGTGATCATGACCACCGCCTCCATCAACTCGAGGTTGGGCTGAGCGAGGTTCGTCACCAAAATGTGAAGTTTGAAAGTTGGTTTCAATCCTTCGGGACGAAGGTGAGCGACCAAGCACAACAAATCCAGACCCTTGCCGGCACAGTCAAGGAGCAACACCAGGAGCTCACCAAGGTGCGTACTGATGTGCAGAGCTCCATCAAGTCTGCCGTCGTTGCATTGCAAACCGACCTGTCGGCGCAGATGAGTGCTCAGCTTACTGGGCAGCTTGAACAAATTCAGTCGATGCTTGCGGACAAGAAACCCCGCACCAGTTGACTACCTCCCCCCGGACACTCTGCTCGGCGACGGAGTGGGCCGGTGACTGGGTTTCGTCTTCAGCTTTGGACTTGGGCCTGCATTTGGTATGGCCTTCTCACTTGTGCTTTTGGTGGCTCCATGCCTCCCTGTCGCGACTTTACCTTTGGATCGGGTTGCCGGGTTCAGTTCTGCGACCAATCTTTGGCTGCTGCCGTCCATCGCGACCGCCATACCGGTCCTGCGACTCTTTCTGAATGGCCTTTGTCCCCTGCGCTGTCTGTTCAGCTGCCTACTCAGCTCCCGGACTTGGGTGCCGCCAGGCTCCTTTGGTCACCAGCTGCTTTTCGATACGGCGAGGCCGCGCATCCTGGGCCCTCTCCGTCCTTCTTCTTGAGCACTAGCAATCCCTCTGGACTCCGCAACAAAGAGTCCTTTTTCGCCGACTGGGGTGTCGGCATTCACTGCTTTGCTGAGACACAGCTCTCAGCTGCCACGTTGCCCGCCTCTAAGGCTCACTTCCGTCGCCATGCAAAAGACATGGGCAGACTTGCTCGCTTTGTTCCGGGTGCTCCTGCACCCCTCCGCACCAACAGTCTCTGGGCTGGGGCCTGGACCGGCGTGCTACAAGTCAGCGACTTCCCGTGCCGACCACATCAAATCTCGTACCCCTCAGGCCTCTTCGAGTCCGGTCGCATTGTGCTTGCCCGGCATTACTTGGAAGCTGTGATGTTTCAGGTGGCCACTCTTTATGGTTACCCCTCCGGGCCGACCTGGCCTGATGCCAGACACCGCACCGATGATATGCTCCAGTGCCTCACTCAGGAGCTGGTTCTGGGATCTCGGGGCCCTCGTGTCATTACGGGTGATTTCAACCATGACTTTGGATGCCTGGACCAATGTGCCATTTGGCGCAGTCACGGCTGGATTGAGCTTCAGTGCTTGGCCGAGTCCCATTGGGGGATGACTCCCAGGCCGACGTGCAAACATGCAACCCGTCGGGACTACATTTGGTTGTCTCCTGAAGCTGCTGCTTGCTGTGTGCATGCTTCTGTTCTTGATGTCTTCCAGGAGCATTCTACTCTAATTGCTGGGTTTTCTCTTTCGGGCCATGCCGTTTCTGAGATTACCTGGCCTTTGCCTTCCGAGATCCCGTGGTCTGAGGTCAGTGTTGAGGAATGGCATCTCGCTGGGGTTCACGAGCCCACCCCCGCATCTGACCCCACCGTGTGGTACAGCAAGTTCTCTCATGCCACAGAGCGCAGCCTGAAGGGCTTCGTGCCTGGACTTCCAAACAATCACATTCCCTCCTGTTGCTTCGGCCGTGGACGCCGCCTCACGCCTCAGGTGCAGCAACACAGTGATCCTATTCCTAAGCCTAGCCGTCCTGGCGAGGTTATGATGCGGCACGATGGGTTGTGCACTGAAGTCAAGCGATGGTTTCAACAGCTCCGTCGGCTCCAATCCTTGACGCATGCGCTCAAGGCCGCCAAGTCTGAGCCTGCCGCGGTGGACTACCGACTTGCACTTTGGCGGTCCATTTGCCGGGCCAGGGGTTTCTGTGGGGGCTTCTCTGCGTGGTGGGCCAAGCGACCCACTCGTCTGGTTGGAAGCCCGACAATGTTGCCCCAAACTGTTCCCGATTCAGGTACTGCCACCTGCCTGTTTGAGGACTTCCGGTGCAATTACCGCAGACTTGAGGCTTGGCATCTCCAGCGACGTGGGCAGATTTTGTCTTGCAAGTACGACAAATCATTGTCTCAGCTCTATTGCGAGCTCCGCGAACCCGCTCCGGAGCAAGTGGACACTCTTACAGTGTCCCGGGATTATGCCATTTTGGCTGTTTCCGACAAACAGGTGCACCTGAGCAGTTCTCTAGACCTGCGAGGCTCCTCCACTTGGGCGGTCGATGGACAACCGGTGGAGATATGTGAAGTTGATGATGTGGTGTGCACTCTGTCGGTTCCTGCATGCCCCGGACAAGAGCTTGAGCAAACTCAGACACTCTCCTCTGTGCCGGATATTCACTCTGAATTCGTTTCCCTGTGGGCCAGCCGTTGGCAACAACATGCCACGCTAACTGCCCCCGACTGGCAGCGCTTTCTAGCTTTTGCTGCCGCTTTCTTGCCTCGACAGGTTTTCAGCCTGCCCCGCATTTCGGTTGAAGACTGGCTCCGAGCAGTCAAACGTTTTCGCCCCAGAGCAGCCCGTGGCCCTGACGGCTGGGCTAAGGCCGACCTTCTGAACATGCCTCCCCCCCGGACTCAGCAGCTGCTGGATTTCCTTGCACAGCTTGAGGCCGGTGAGTGCTCTTGGCCACAGCAGCTTGTTGTGGGATTCATTTGCCTTCTGTCCAAACAAAACGGCCGAGCCGATGCCCACGGCTATCGCCCGATTTGTCTGTACTCAATCATTTATCGTGCTTGGGCCGGCCTCCGAGCTCGACAAGTGTTGCAGGCACTGAAGCATTGTGTGCCAGATGGGTTGCATGGCTTCGTTCCTGGTCGAGAGGCCACATCTCTGTGGTACGGCATCCAGGCGGAAATAGAGCTTTGTGCCCAGGGCGATGCCCCACTTCTTGGCCTGAGCACGGACATCATCAAGTGCTTCAATAACCTCCCACGCCTCCCTTTGTTGGCGGTCGCTGCTCAGCTGGGCACACCGTGGCAGGTTCTTCATCCTTGGACGGCCTTTCTCACACAAACTGAAAGGCGATTCCTTGTCCGTGGACAGGTCAGTGAGCCGTTAAAGTCTACTTCGGGCTTTCCGGAGGGGTGCCCGCTGAGCCCCCTCGCCATGCTACTGGCAGATGTCGCATACCATGCCTACATGCAAGCCTTCGTGCCGGAGGTTCGTTCTTTGAGCTACGTCGACAATCTGGCCACCTTGGCATCCACTCCGGCTCAGCTTGCCCGAAGTTACCAGGTCACTCAGAGCTTCATGGATTTGCTCAAACTGAGCTTGGATGTAGCTAAGACTTACACTTGGGCGACTGCCCCTGCGGATCGTAGGGTCCTTCCGGCTCTGGGGTTACCGGTATCCGACTCCGCCCGTGAACTTGGTGGGTTCCTGGCCTTTGGACCACGGGTCCATAATGCAGAGCTCCAGCTCCGGTGCACTGCCTTGCAACCCGTGTGGGCTGCCCTGCGGAGGTCTCGTGCGCCTCTTGGGCTCAAACTTTCTGTGTTGCCAAAAAAGTGCTGGGCGCGCGCACTACATGGCATCGCAGGTTGCCCTCTTGGCCAGGCACATTTGCAATCCTTGCGCACCAGCGCCACCTCTGCCCTACAGATTCGGCCTGGTGGATCCAGCTCACTCCTTCGTTTGTCTATAGTGCCTGACATGTGTGCCGACCCGGGGTTCTATCAGCTATGGGCCTGCATCCGAGACTTGAGACGAATGGCTTGCAAAGTCAGTGGTCTCCTCGGCTCATGGCGTAGCTTTATGGCTGCTTACGATGGTCGGTCCCTCCACGGACCTTTCACCAAACTTCTGCAAGTACTGTCTCAGGTCGGCTGGGCCGTTCTGGTCCCCCCCTTGGTGATGGACCATGAGGGTTTGCAACATGATGTGCTAAAGGCCCCTGCTCTTTTGTTGCGACGGCGACTGGAGCACGCCTGGCTGAGGTTTGTCGCCTTTGCTCACAAGCATCGGGCCACCATGCACGACCTGGACGGCATCGACCCGTCGCTCTTGCAAGCTGATGTCGGTGGGCTCTCCGCCCTTGATACGGCTCGGTATGCCGCGGTTCGGTCCGGTGCCTTTCTCTTTGATCACGTCCAGTCGCGGTTTGACTTCACCAAAACCGGTGATTGTGACCTTTGTGACGTGCCGGATACTGCCCAACACCGTGTTTGCGTCTGCCCAAAGTTTGTGAATGCAAGAAGGCCGCATGAATGGGTGTGTGCCAGATGGTCTTCGCTACCATCGTGTGTCACACACCACCTGCTACCTCCTGACAACCCGCACCTGCCGCTTTTGCGCAAACTCCTGCATGGTCTGCCGGATCTTTCGGGTTCTTTTATGTGTTCAGGGACTAGTTTGGGCTGGCAACACCTTTTCACGGATGGCTCATGCTACGATGCTTGGGGCAACGACTTCTCCCTTGCTGCATGGGGCATCATACATGCTCAGCTGGGAGTTGCCTTGGCTTGTGGCCCAGTGCCTGGTGTTCTTCAAACGGCTCCCCGGGCTGAAGCTTGGGCAATGATCGCTGCCGCCAAATGGGCTATCTCAGTGGCTAAACCTTGTTTGATTTGGTCGGACTGTCTCAACGTTGTTGATGGAGTACAGGCCATTCAAAATGGACAATGTTTCGAGGCCCATGCCGACGCCGACCTTTGGGACATCCTGGCAGCTCTTTTGGCTCAGCTGGACCCTGCACAATTTCAGGTTCGCCATACCCCCTCTCACTTGGATAAGGGTCTTACCACTTCTCCTTTTGAGGATTGGCTGGCGTGCCACAACGGCCATGCAGATACTCTGGCGAATTTTGCCAATTCTAACAGGCCGCAGTACTTCGTGCAAGTCTACCAGGCCGCGCTCCGCTACCACTCTGACATGCTGCAGACGCTTCGAGCCCTTCGCGGAATCTACTTTGCTATCGCTGATGCTACGGCCAGCCGAGGTGGCCGTACACGAGAAGGCGTTGAGTCTGCAGATCTTGAGGAGCGAGCCCGACCTCTGGCCGTCCCCAGACGTGCTGAACTGGAGTCTCTGCTTCCGGTCGGATGGGCACAGCTTGTTGCTGCAGCGGGCTGTGATCTGCCGAGTGATTTTATTCAGACTCTCTGCCGCTTTGTCTTTGTACAGGATAGCATTGCGGAGACTGCTTTTACAGTAACTTGGCTGGAACTTGTTTTCATGTTGGCCACGGTTGACGACTTTGTTTATCCTGTTTCGGGCCCTCAGGGCGGTTGGCTTTCTCCAGCTTCAGTTGCTTTTCTTCCTCCCCCGCCGACTGTTGCGGGGAGGCTCACTTTCGTGAGACGTGCCTTGCGACATGCCTTCAAGTGTCTTCGGCTTCAATGCTTGTTTATTTCGGGTGTTGATCGTACTGAGTTGGGGGTCACCTTTCCTCTTGATGGCATTGTCATCGGAGCTGATGAACACCTTCTGCTCCGTGCCAGGGCTTCTCTAGGCCACTTTGCACAGGGGCGCCGTGTGAACTCTCGCGCTGCGCTCGCTCGGCCACTTTAAACTTGTTTCTGACGGACAAGGACGCTCGCAGGCCGCACTGCTCTTGCTGTGCGTCTGCACCGAAGCCCGTGTGAGTTATAAATATTTACCAATGTTTATATTCATGAGGCCTTCTTATGTTTGTATAATAAAGGAGCGCAACACCATATTCTAACTATTAAGGCCCTTACACTGCACCCCCATAATACTCAGGGCAACACAGAAGGGGGCAACACTTTGGAAAGGCAAGACCCGACCCTTCGCCCGAAGTTCGTCGAACCCCGCCGGCGTTCGCCGAACCCTCGCCGAACACCTCCCCTCCTTCGAACCTTTATTATTAAATTCTAATATTATTAATATTAATTAATACTAATAATACTAATAATAACTAATTAATATTCATTTAATTATAATTAATATTAATATTAATATCAATAATACGAATACTAATATAATACTAATAATACTAATACTAATATAATAATACTACTAATAATAACTACTAATACTAATATTAATGCTAATACTAATTTGTTTAATACTAATACTAATTAAATCCTAATACTAATGTTACATAAATTATTATTATACTTAAATTTATTTAAATACTAGTACTTATGATACTGATATTTCAATATAATTTGTAACAACAGAACTAATAATACTAATACACTAATTAAATTAGTAATTAAATATTACTAATACTAGTATTATTAATGATGTATTAAATACAAATATTTATTAAGTCTCATATTAATAATTTTAGTAATATTTATATTCAAAAAATACAAAGGTGAAATTACAATGAATGTGAAAAACTAATAAACTAAAAAGTATTAGCAATAATGTGCATACTTTAACCTTATCACGAATGGCTCATAGTATAATAGATTTGCATTCGAAGCCTGAATGGCTTGTATTCTTAGTCATAGATGAATAATATGGGAACCCTGTCATGAACAATTAACTTGCAGAATACTTGTTAGTGTGCTGTTCAGAGTTACTAATTGATAATCAATGTCCATACAGGCCATTGTCAATAAAGTATATTGTTTGTTAGCTATTTCTTATTATTCAATTTGTGATACTATCGCTAGTGGTAACAATTTAAACAATAATTTTTAAATAACTCATCATCAGCACACTATTTCTCACAGGGGCCTGCCTATCACCGGTACGATCCCAATTCATATTCTAATAGTATCAATAATAAAAAAACTCAGTTTCCTGATTGCTTAATTTGGACGCAGAACATGTGTGTCCTGGATATGCATCTATTTTCTTTGAGTGGTTCTGTATAATAATTAAGCAGCTTTATGAACTTGTGTATGATATGATGTCAACACTAATCAAAACATACTGCCGTATAAGTGATGAATAATTAAATACACACTTTGACTTAGCTAGATTATTCGTGGTTTTGCCTGTTGTAACACTGAATACTGGCTAACAAGAACAATAGTACTATTTTATAATCAGCAGGTTTCAGCAAGATTGAGTACAATAATATCACGATCATCCCTCTGCTTGTAACCAGAAAGAATAAACAACAGTTGAGTCGAAAGAACAAACTTGACAATAGTGTAGCCAGAGGCTTAGGCAATTACATTGTTACTAACTGTTAGCAGCATAAAGAATGTAGTTAATAGCAACAACAAATATGAACACATATAGATACTCACCATCATCATCGTCATCATAATCATGCGTGCTGCTGTGTCTTTTTGTTTTGGGAAGGGGGGAAGGTTCAGTCAGGGCAAGACTTCGGCTTCGCTGCAGTTGGGAGGGTTTGGGGTTTGCGAGTCTTGCAGGGTTTGGCCCGAGTCCATTGTAAGAACCCTATTCCCAAAGACCCGAAAGAAAAGAAACCAACCCCACCATGCAGCCCTCCTGAAGCCGCAAGCCCAGCCCAAGCAAGAGAGCATTCACGTCTTGGACAAGATCATGGTGATGCTGGGAGCCCGGGCAAAGTACTCAGTGAGGGTTTCCGGGTGAGCGCCTAAGGATTCGGGTTAGGAGTTAATGGGCCGACCGTGAGGTCGTGCCCGGGTCTAGGAGTAAGATTTACGCTAGCCGGGTCGACCGGGAGGTCGCGCCCGTTTTTGCAAGACGTCCATCGGACGCCGGCCGTGAGGTCGTAAGAACAGCGGCTGGGAAGCCGAGTCGTAATACGGCAAGAATTAGCAAGACGTCCATTTGGACGCCGGCCGTGAGGTCGTACGAGTAAGAGATAGCAAAGTCACTATATGGAGAGACGGTAGGGAGTAAGGTGTAAGATCAACAGACGTCCATAGGATGCCGACCGGGCGGTCGCAAGATTAGAAAGGAGGGTCAATGCAGAGTAAGATTATTCTTCCAGCAAGCAACTAGTTACGTCGTATTGAACTGATATTATTGGCCATTGGTTGATGGTTGTTGGGTTGAGTAGTCAGTGTTACAGTGTATAATAAGACTGTGATGTGTTTCTTGATGTGGGAATTTCAGGGCAAGACCTAACCCTGCCGAGAGCGTAAGAACCGATGACGAACGCCCCCTGATAAATACGGAGCTTCCGCAAGCTTTGAATGTAAGTCGTAAGTGTAAACCGAACCACCCTCTCCCGCGCAAGATTCCGATTTGCTAGCTGCCCGAAGCCATCAGACTTGAACTCTGCCTGACCTCAGACCCAACTCCGAGCCCTAAACCGGGACCAATCTCCAAACAGGCAAGAACATTTGTAAAAAATGTTAGACATTAGTTAGAGACTTGCCCAAGGCAATCAATCAATATACAAAATTCAAATCAATTAATAATAATATACAAAATTCATGCTAAGTGAATTGCCAGATTGACTACCGAGGCCAGACCTCCGCATGCCTCGTCGTGCCAGATTTCTAGCAGGAGGAGACCCGGGTGGTTTGGTTTTCTGCAGTGGGCTTTTGATCAGATCAATAATCGAATCAGCGGTTGTTGACCATTTGTCAGATTTGGCTTCACGTCAAGGTTGAATTGAGTCAGCAAGAACAGTGCGTCCGCAGTTGACCAGGTTGTCTCAGTCAGACTCAGAAGCATAATTAATTAATTATATTTTTTACAACGTAGAGTGAGTGAAGACGAGTAGACACTGACACGTAGTAGCTCCGCTTCCATGGCTGACCAGTGGCAAGATCAGCAGTGGAATGACCGTGCCACGCGGTGGAATGAGTGGCAAGATGACCAGTGGCGGTGGAATGAGTGGCAAGATGAGCAGTGGCGGGGGAATGAGTGGCAAGATGAGCAGTGGCAAGATCAGCAGTGGAATGACCGTGCCACGCAGTGGAATGAACACCGGCACTGGCCCGAGCAGCAGGGGGGCGACGAGGACCGGAGCAAGAAGAAGAAGAAGAAAAAAAAGGGGGAAGGCGCCGTACTCCGACACACGCTTAAACGGTTTGGCGTGACTTGGCATCTTGATAATAAAACTAACCTTTAAGACTTACTTGTTAAAGATTAGTATTATATTATTCAGTCGTCACATCCATGGCTGGACTCAGGTAGTTGGCACGCAAGAGTTATATTGCAGGCAACGAGCTGCACGGCAAGAGGTCCTCAACAAAGCCAAGGCTCCTCAAGTGGTCGTGGCCAGATGTAAAGCAGAGCCAAGCAGACCACTCGTGGCCAGATGTAAAGCAGAGCCAAGCAGACCAGAGGACAGACCAGAGCCCGTGGAGCCACAATCAACTTCGCCAGCACAGGTGAACATGCCTTCCCAGCCTCTGCCTGAGCCAGAGCCTGCGGCATTGCCCCGCCAGCCAATTGGACCACCCGTCAGCTTTGGCCCCCCAGCAAGGCCGCAGCCAGAACAAGCACTGAAGCCACAAGCAAGTCAAGCCACAGCCGCAGCAAGTCCAAGGAGACCACCTGAGAGCCTTTTAAACCCAAGGCATTCAGCAAGACCAGAAATGCCAATGCCACGAGCAAGTCCAGCCACAGCCGCAGCAAGCCCACCACCAGCAGGGCTGCAGCACCAAGCCCAAGCCCCGCTAACTCCGCGGCCAAAAGGACGGCCAATGCAAATAACTGAGCCAGCACAGCAACAGCAAGAGCAGCAGGTCCAACAAGCCCCGCCAACTCCTCAGACTCCCCCCCCCTCCTCGCAGCGGCCGCAGCAAGTGGCACAGCCACGGCAACAGCAACCAGCCCCACAAACTTCAGCTGCACAAACTCAGCAAGGGCTTCTAGCAGCACCGCCGCAGGTCCCAGAAATGCCGCCACCGCGGTGGCAGCCGTTGCGACAGCAGCTGCAGCAGGGAGCCCCGCCGCAGCAAGAGCAGCCGGCACCCGTGAGCCAGCCGCCACTCAACCGTCAGCAACAGCCGCTACAGCAGAGAACATCACAGCAAGAGCAGCCCGCGCCCGTGAACCAGCCGCTCAACCCTCGGCAAGAGCCGCTGCAGCAGAGAGCCCCGCCGCAGCAAGAGCAGCAGCCGCTCAACCCTCAGCAACAGCCACTGCAGCAGAGAGCCCTGCAGCAAGAACAGCAGAGAACATCGCAGCAAGAGCCCGCACGCGTGAACCAGCCGCTCAACCCTCGGCAAGAGCCGCTGCAGCAGAGAGCCCCGCCGCAGCAACAGCAGCAGCCGCTCAACCCTCGGCAACAGCCGCTGCAGCACAGAGCAAGACCGCAGCAAGAGCCAGCGCCCGTGAGCCAGCCTCTGAACCCGTTGAACGTGCCATTCGGCTTTCCGATGCCGCCGCTGGCGAATCCGTTGCTGCCGCCGCCACCGCTGCCGTTGCCGGTTGTTCAAGGGCAAGAAGTGGTTGAGCAGATGGCTTCGCTGCTCAAGGTTACGACAGCAATGCTGCTACTCAACCGCAATTTGCATGTGTGTGATGGTTCGGTATGTGTAATTTCAATCAGTAGCATCATGGAGTGGTAGTAGTAGGACTAGTACTAGTACTAGCACTAGTAGTAGATTTAGTTAGTTGTTGTTGTAGTTGTAGTTAAAGTAGCAGTAGC